CACTCAAATTCCTGCCTCCGTCTTCACGTTACCTTTTCTTAGTGTCTCTGTTGTGTCACATCTTCCTCTCTTTTATGACACCAATCACTGGGTTTTTAGGGCCCACCACAAATCCAGGCTGATCTCTTTTCAAGATCTTTAATTACATCTGCAAAGACCATATTTCCAATAAGGTCATATTTACAGGTACTAAAGTTTATAACTTAGACATATCCTTTTAGGGTACACGAATCAACCTCCTGCACCAACTGAAGGCTGAAGCAAGTGTGGTAATCCTTAATATTGTGGGGGAGAGAATAAAGGGATAGGAAAACCCTTTGGCTGGCTCTGTCTGTGGATGTTCTGAAATCTCTATTTCTTTGCTTTTTTTAAAAAAAGAACTAAAAGACTGCTATAATTTCTGCAGAAGTCAACTTGATACTATCTAACAAAATCACAAGTCTTATGCCTTTTGGGTGGAAGCACTTTTTTACATTGTTATCTATATAAAAGTCTAATATGCTAAGTGTCAGACTGTCCAACTGGTTGCTATGATGCCACTAACCACTAGGGGGCAGATACTCAATGCAGGAGCTGCTGTGATGTGCACCGGCACTGCGGACCTAGTGGTACCCACAAAGCAACACTTGGCTTTCCCCAAGTGGGACACAGGCCCTGCCACCACCCCAGAGAGACACATCACCAAATAGCAGCCAATGCTATTGAGACCCCATGGTGAAAAATAAGGCCCATCGACCAGACCACTGTGTGTGCTGGGTAATGATGTCACATAGCAATGCCCAGCTTCCTCAACCTAGTGACAACTAGCCTCCTTGCAATATCTTCAGCCCAGGAACATGACTTGCTTTATAGCCAGGTGCAAACATTTCACACTGCAACCAAATGTCTGTGAAGCATTTTCCCCGTGCCTCATCTCATTTGATCCTCACAGAAGTCCTGGAGTACGTAGATAGGAAACTCAGTGGAATCCGATTTTCTTTCATTAGCCTAAAAACAGAGATTTAGAAAACTTAGAAACTTGACCCAACTGAAAAGAAGTAAGAATGGCGGACCTTGAAAATGACTTTGTATTTTCTCACTGTGCAGAATATAGTCAAATACCGCTGCAGTTAAATATTTTACTCTTCGTTCTCCCTGCGTGACCTACAATAATAATCTGCTTCATGTTGATATTTACTGCTGTGTTTCTGACAATTACTTGAAAGACAAGTTGGGGTGCTTCACTGAGCTGGAAGAAGTTCAGCTACATCAGAAAGCAGGACTAATTAAGCAAGTTTAGTCTACCTATATAAAAGGCTAAGTTGACTTGTGCATGCACAATACCTATAAAGCTCTCGCTGGCAACAACTGCACATGTGTGTTTCAATCTGTCATTGTTGATCGTGAATTTGGTTGACACTTCTATTATAAAGAAAGGGCGAATAGCGATATTAAAGTATTTTTTCTAATTAATTTCTTTTCAATGTGCACAAATCCGTGCACTGGACCACTATTTGAGGTATAATATTTATAAAGAAAAGTGAACATGTCAGAAGGATAGACCACTTGACTTTAAATATTATTCTTTCCTCTTTCATTTATATTTGGTAAGCAGCCATTTAAAGCTTTCTTAATTATAAAAGTAATACATAGTCAATGCAAAGTCATAATAATTGAGAAAAGTACAAAGAAACTACACAACAACCATTTATATTACCATGCAGAAATTAACCATTCACATTTTGTTGTAGTTTCTTCTAGGTTTTTTCCAATGTAAATATACACATATAGTTCTTTTTAAAGATGGAACTCTATGATCCTATTAACAATTTACAATGCATTGTGCAAATATAATTTTCCATATAATTAAAACTTCCCATATAATTAACAGTTACATTCATAATTTTTAATGATTGTATAACATTTCTTTTTTTGTTATTGTTAATCCTCACCTGAGGATATTTTTCCATTGATTTTTAGAGAGAGTGGAAGGGAGACAGAGAGAGAGAAACATCAATGTGAGAGAGACACATCGACTGTGGCCAGGGACTGAGCCTGCAACCGAGGGACCCTCCAGTCTGGGCTAACACTCTATCCACTGAGCCAAACCAGCTAGGGCATCACATTCTTTTTAAGTGAGGCCTCACTGAGGGACATTACAGTTGTTTTCAGTTTTTGACATTATGAATAATTCATAAATATCTTTTTTAGATATGCATTTTTATATATATTTTATTAATTTTTTCTACAGAGAGGAAGAGAGAGGTATAGAGAGTTAGAAACACTGATGAAAGAGAACCATCGATCAGCCGTCTCCTGCACACCCCCTACTGAGGATATGCCTGCAACCAAGGTACATGCCCTTGACCGGAATCGAACCTGGGACCCTTCAGTCCGCAGGCCGACACTCTATTCACTGAGCCAAACCAACTTCAGCTAGATATGCATTTTTTTAAATTTATTTTCCAATCACAGTTTACATTCAATACTTATTTTGTATGAATTTCAGGTATTGAAAACTTTTTAAAGGTAAAATTTCAAGTGTAGAGTATATAATAATTCTACATCTTAAAGGTGCATCAAAAGGAATTCCTAATATTCCCTCCAGACTTGCTTTAGCCATAACATTTTTCATCTAAGTGTAGCTTCATCTTTTCCTTAGCTCAAACAAAAAGCCATGCAAACAAAAGACCAAACTTCGCAGTCATCCATGACTCCTCTCTTTCTCTAATGCTGAAATCTAATTAACCAGAAAATTCACTTTGCTCTTTCTTTCAAATATACCCATAATTTGACCATTTCCCAGGATCTGCACTGCTCTCATACTGTGTCACCGATATCTCTTGCCTGGGTAATTGCAGTGGCCTCCTACCTAGGATTGCCATATTTAGCAAATAAAAATATAGGACTCTCCCCCGAAGTTTTGGGTACAGACTAGGTGACTTTAGGTGATGCGTGGACAAAATTTGTTTACATTTTCGCTCCTGAGGATTTATTTTAATATGCACCCAAATCATAACATATCGAATCTGTTACCTTGTTTAGTTTAGAGGCTAAACTAAAAAACGATGGCGAGTCAGTTTTGAAGAGAGCGACTCGGAAATGACCAGTGGCTTGGGGGGCACCTGTGGCTGCGGAAAGGTTGGGAAGCGCTGCCCACAGAGGACCGAAGACTTGGGTGCCCTCTCCTTCTCTGCGGCATCTCCTATCCAATCATCCTCACTGCGCCAGAGTCCGGGCCAGGGCTTTGTTGCTGTTGTCCTTGTAGCACTAATCCCCTTTCCTGCTTTCTGTCTGTGCAGTTCTCATCTCGGAGGGCACAGAGGGACTCACCTGGTTCGTTCTGGGAGCAGAGAGAACTAGCGGGAATTCCCACAGCCAGGTAGAGATCATCGTCATTTTACCAGGGTGTTTACAAATACTTTCCTTAGCCTCTTCTCTTAAAAAACAAGTACATTATATTTATTTCTGAGTGAAAAAATAAATGTTTCAGAATGCTTGTCATTCCTCAAAAAAAAAAAAAAATATATATATATATATATATATATATATATATATATATATATTCAATATATAGGACACTCCATTAAAATTGAAGTTCAGATAAACAACAATTTTTCTTAGTATAAGTATGTCCCAAATATTGCCTTCTCCATGCAGGAGCCAAAGGGATTCTTTTTAAAAGTCAGAATAAGTCACTTCTCTGTTCAAAATCCTGTGATGTCTTTTCATTTCACTTATAATTAAAAAAAAAAGTAAAAAATAAAACAGCTGAGGTCCACAGCCCTGCAGGATCTGCTATTAGCTGCTCTTTCCTTTTTGATTCTCCCTATCCTCCCCTTTCCTTTGCTTGCACTTCTATTATCTGGTCAGACTTCCCTAATCACCCTGTTAAAATTGCACTTTCTTCCCCTTTCCCTACTTTATATTTCTCTGTGACCACTTTTTTTTTTTTTCCAAACAAATGATTTAGTTTGTCTTTATCCTTCCACCAGAATTGAAATTGTATGGGAGCGTTTTTGCTTCTTATTCACTGCTGCATCCTCAGTGCTTAGCATAGTGCCGCCAGCACATAATAGATGCTCAATAAATATTTAATAAATGTCGATATTAAGTAAACTTAGTTAGCCACATCAATAAATAGCTTTTGTTTCTGTTTCACTAGAACACTCCCATTCTGGTCATTCAACATGTTATTTATCTATATATCAAAATAGTCAAGTAACTGCTGTAAACTTAAAGAAGCCTCTTCCCCCCCCCCCCCCGTAATTCTATAACAGTAACATTTATAATTGTAGACTCGGTTCTGAAGTATAGCAATATCTTATAACTTTAGGTATTATTATTATTATTATTATAGTTAGTTTAAAGAGGAAAATTAAGACCGCGAGAGATAATTTGCTTAAGATCGTATGCGTGGGACCTACCTGGCAGTTTTGGGTAGAGAACCTACGCTTTTAACTCCCTTTATTTTTGCTTTTGAACTTGTTTAGGTTAAGCTATCAATTAAAAAAACAAAAACAAAAACAAAAAAAAACTTGTGGATTCAAGCCCAAACTCAACAAAGGCCCAGCGCCTCATCCCACCCGGGCGAGGGCTCCACGTTTTGCATTTGAAGCCTGCACGGAGGAAGCTGGAGGCAGGTGTCCTAAGGGGCGGGGCGAAGCCGCCGGGGCCGCCGCCAACCAATCAGAGCGAGCGGCGGCCTCCCTTCCCCCTCCGCCAGCCTCGCGCCAAAATTCCAAACGGGTCGGCGCGCCGCTCCCCGCCGTGTCCCTCCGCCGGGCCCCGCGAGCCGGAACTACGTAAGGCAACGAAGGCGGCGCCCTCCCGCCACGTCCCGCCCGGGGCCTCGGTCCTCTGGGTGCGGGCTCCCCTCCACGTGGCCCGCAGCCCCTCGGCCCCCGGACGGGGCGGGAAGTTCGGAGCCCGCAGCGGTGGGGGGCGGCGTGGGCGGGGCCGGCGGCGGAGGGATCCCGGGCGCGCGCGCCGCCGCCGCGGGCCGCGAGCGAGTGGCGCCAGAATTCAGAGCGCGGAAGAGCCCGAGCGCCCCGCTCCCGCCGCCCGCCCGCCCGCCCGCCCGCTCGGACCCGCCGCCCACGCCGGGGCCCCCGGGCCGGGAGAAGAAGATGGTGGTCCTCCGCAGCAGCCTGGAGCTGCACGGCCACTCCGCCGCCTCGGCCGCGAGCTCCCTGGACCTGTCCAGCGAGTTCCTCAGCTTGGAACGGATCGGCCGGAGGCGGCTGCGCTCGGCCCGCGCCGCGGAGCAGCCCGCCGTCCCCGCGGCCGCCGAGGGGGTGAGTACCGGCCGGGGCGGCCCCCGGGGCCGGGCCGGAGGGGCCCTGCCCGAGGGCTCGGTGCTCGGGTGGGGCCCGGGGGCGGGCGGGCGGCCCGGTGACAGTTGGCGGGCGGGGGAGGCGGTTGGGAGGCGTGCTGTGGGTCGGGGACGGGTAAAAATGGAAGGCCCCTGAACACCGGAGCCCCGCGGGGTGTGGGTCGGGTGAAGACACCGGGAAACGGGCCGAGCCGTGACGCCCCACTTTTTTTACGCAAGAGGAAGCCCAAGCCCAAGCCCTCCGGAGCTGAAGCGCCGTGGAGGGGGCGAGCCCCAAGTTTGGGGGGGGCCGCCCCACACCCCACCCACCTCACCAACACTCTGTGCCCGGGCTCCCGCCCTAGGTTCGCACCCACCCATGGAGCACGAGACGCACAGGTCCTGACTGAGCACTGTGTACGCCCAGGGGAGGTGTTGGGGGACCGCGGGGGCTAGGAGGACTGTCACTCCGGGTCCCCTGACCTCCATGGACGGTCCGATCCGGAGAGGTTCCGGAGCGGGAGCGCGGGGAAGGCATGCCAGGTTGCATAATGTGGAGGGATGGAGACCGGCCCCGCACGCGCAGCCGCGTCACCCGAGCCTCAGCGCAGCCCCGTGAGCGGGGGCGAGTGGGACTCGGTGCCCCACAGACGAAGACACTGGCCCCAGAAGGTGCCCCAGTCCGTGGCAGCTCCCCGGTGCAGTGGGGACCCTCCCCTATCCCAGCAGCGTCTGTAGGGAAGTTTCCACGGGCTTGCAGCAGTTGATCCTCCTTTGAAAGACTGACAGACCGGCTTCTCCTTCTAGGGGGCTTCTCCTTCCAGGGAGCGTCCCCTCCACGCCCCGCCCCTGCAGGAGGTGCAGGTGGAGGGGACCTCAATTGCCCTAAAGGTTGGAGAAGCAGAGGAGGCAGCACTAGGGAAGGGAAGGCAGCGGGAAGTCTAGTGCTGTTGAGGGGGGTTGGGGTGGGAGGTGGGGGCAGGAGTAGGGCCAGAGAGAGGGTTAGGAGCTGGAAGTGGGAATGAGAGACCCAGCAGGAGGGGGGAGTGAGGGGGAAGGGACAGAACGTGGTGTTGGGGGCGGGCGTTCACGATCTGACAAGAGTTGTCAGTTTCTTTTTAAATATATTTTATTGATTTTTAACAGAGAGGAAGAGAGAGGGATAGAGAGTTAGAAACATCAATGAGAGAGAAACATCCATCAGCTGCCTCCTGCACACCCCCTACTGGGGGATGTACCCACAACCAAAGTACATGCCCTTGACCGGAATCGAACCTGGGACCCTTCAGTCCGCAGGCCTACGCTCTAGGCAAGAGTTGTCAGTTTCTGTGGTGGGTGCTGCATCTACAGCGGGGCATCGCTAGAGTTCCTGTTCCATCTCTGAAATTGTGGTTCTGAATTATAAAAAGGATTTCCTGACTTTCAGGGTCTGTTTCTCCAGCATGTGCAGAAGCTGGCAGAGATCTGGGGGAGGCCAGACGCTTTATTTCTGCACTGAACTCAGCCTATGTTCAAAAAAGTAGTTATTTCGGAAGATATGTATGGAATGTTTACCATTTTGAGGACAATGCTGGATCCTGTGGCTGTGATAATGTATTGGGTGCTCAGAACAGCTGTTATGTTGAATCTCAACTTACCAATAATCAGATTCCTACATGTTAAAAGGTGATACCCACCACCTGGGCAGTGTGAATTAAATGTGATCATGCATGTAAGGAGATTACCTGAACACTTGGCCAGTACTGTAGTGAGGACTCGGTCATTGCCAGTTACTAAGACCACAGTCAGATAATGGCCACTCTGTCTTTCCAGTTCCTCAGGCCAAAAGCCTTTGAGTCATCCTTGACTCCTCTTTCATTTTATATTAGCAAGTTTTGTTGGCTTGCTTTCACCACGTATTCAGACCACTTCCCAGCTCCTCATTATTGCTATGCTGATTCAAGACATTATTGCCTGGATTATTAAAATAGGTTTTAGACTGGCCTCCCTGTTTTCCACCCTTATGTACATATGTGTTGTGGATTGTGCTTGCTCTAACAGAACTTAGTCTAGCAAAGGGACCTAACAGCAAAACGTATAGAGACTATTTGCCATAAATGTCATTTCTGTGACGTGGTGGTTGAGCAGTTAACACTCGGCTAGCTGATGTAGGGTAGAAAGGTGTTTTTTTTTCCAGGCTTGGTTTATATCTTTTTGAGACATAGTATTCCTCTCTTTTATAAATACTCTCTGGACCAAGTGAGCACGGGATTGAATAAAAATAAATGGATAATCCTGAGGAGTGGTGTATTCGTGTTAACAAAGCCCACCAATACCAAATAAGAAACATACCTTTGTGATTAGACTATTTTCTAACTTGGGGACATTACATTCAATGCATTTGGTTAAATTATAGCTTGCCCCCTTTTTGGGGGGCATTTAACATGTATTTCAGAATCTTAACACCCTGGTTTTATTTAGGTCTAATAGTATTTTTTAGTCTCTTCAACCACAGTCATTGATAGAGTATTTCTTAGGGTAAGTTACTTTTAAAGATGGTTAAATTTATTCATATTAAAGTGGATTTTCTTTTCCAGCTAATCTCAGAGGCTGACCTTTTTTTTTTAATTTTGAAGGTACCTGCCTATAGTCATCTATTTATTAACCACATTCTACATTTAAAATTATATATATGTATATACACACACACACACACACATTGTTTTTTACTTCTGAGAGAGAAAAGAAGAAAAAGATAGAAGCATCAGTGATGAGAGAGCATCATCAATCAGCTGTCTCCTGCACGCCTCCTATTGGGGATTGAGCTTGCATCCCGGGCATGTGCCGTGATTGCAAGTCATGCTGTGAATTCCTGGTTCATGGGTCAATGCTCAACCATTGAGCCACACTGGCTGGGTCCTCATTCTATGTTTTTTAAAAAGATTTATTTTAAATAAATCTTTATTGTTCAGATTATTATAATTGTTACTCTTTTTTCCCTCCATTGCTCCCCTCCACCAGGTTCCCACCCCACCCTCTGCCCTTTCCCCACCCCCCACTGTCCTCATCCATAGGTGTACAATTTTTGTTCAGTCTCTTCCCGCATCCCCTACTCCCCTTTTCCCTGAGAATCATCAGTCCACTTCCTTTCCATACCTCTGATTCCATTATATTCACCAGTTAATACTATTCATTAGATTTTTTATTTCCCCTGGTTTTTAGATTCACTTGTTGATAGTTACATATTTGTTGTTCATAATTTTTATCTATTTTCTTCCTCTTCTTAATTAATACTTTTCAGCATTTCATATAATTCTGTTTTGGTGGTGATAAACTCCTTTAGCTTTTTCTTATTTGTGAAGCTCTTTATCTGGCCTTCAATTCTGAGTGATAGCTTTGCTGGGTAGAGTAATCTTGGTTGTAGGTTCTTGCTGTTCATCACTTTGAATATTTTTTGCCATTCCTGTCTGGCCTGCATGGTTTCTGTTGAGAAATCAGCTGACAATCGTATGGGTGCTCCTTTATAGGTAATTAACTGCTTTTCTCTTAATGCTTGTAAGATTCTCTCTGTCTTTTTGCTCTTGGAATTTTAATTATGATGTCTTGGTGTGGTCCTCTTTGGATTCCTTTTGTTTGGGGTTCTGTGCGTTTCCTGGTCTTGTAAGTCTATTTCTTTCACCAGGTAGGGGAAGTTTTCTGTCACTATTTCTTCCAATAGGTTTTCAGTATCTTGCTCTCTCTCTTCTGGGACCTCCATAATTCTGATGTTGATTCGCTTGAAGTTGTCCCAGAGGCTTCTTAAACTATCTTCAACTTTCTGGATTCTCTTGTCTTCTTGCTTCTGTGGAAAAGTGTCCTTTGGCTCTTTGTGTTCCAGATCTTTGACTTGATTCTTGCGATCTTCCAGTCTGTTTTTAGGACTCTGTATATTTTTTATTTCAGTTAGTGTATGCTTTATTTCTAGTTGATCCCTTTTCATATCCTCTAAGGTCTCGTTTATTTTATCGGCCTTTTCTAGGAAATTCTTGAAAAACCTTATAACTGGTTTTGAACTCTTATGTCCATTCTTTTGCTTTCCTCCATTTCCTTTCTTTGTGGGCTGCCTCTCCTCTGCATTTTAGCTGTTTCCCTGAGTTGATGGAGTAGCTTTGTGTGCTAGGTGTCCTAGCAGGGCCCAGTAGCTCAGCCTTCCCAGTTACCTGAGGTGGACAGTCTTGGTGCAGCCCTTTGTGGGCTGTGTGTGCAGTCTTGTTGTTCAGCCTTGCTTGTTGTGGTATCACTGGGGAGAGTTGATCTCCAAGCCAATTGGCTGTGAGGATCAGCAGTATCTCTTATTCTATGTTTTGAATGTGATCTCACACAACTGGGCTTAAGGATTTTTTTCTCCTGATTTGTATGGATTCTCTGAATTTTTTGTTTTAATTTTTTAAACTTTTGCTTATATTTACTATGAGTTTGGATGCTCCCTCTGGTTTCCTTTTCCTTCAGAGTTACACTAGCCATTGTCTATTTCTATGCTTTCTCAGGTCTGGGCTCTGATTTATTAAATTTAGGGTTGTTTCTGTCACTGAAGACTCAGTTAAGGATGGATAATAAAGAGTTTGGTGATGATTGTATGTTACTTTTGGATTGTGTTTATGTACACTTTTTATTCTCTAACTTAGGTAAAGTAAAACATGCTATAGCCTCTGGAACATACTGTTTTTTTCATTGTATATTTACTTAAAAGTTAGAAAAGATATTCTAATCTCGACTTTATATGTACAACATATGGGAGATTTTTTAAAAACTTGTAATAGACTTACAATCTCACAATATTTTTTTCCTCTTTTAACACTTTTAAAGAATTATCAGTGCTCTCAATAATTAAGTAGGTTTTAGCCAAAGAATAAATGAGGGCATTACATCTCCAGGCTTATTTGTTTTCAGATTATGTTTTCTCTTTGTTTTTTACTTCTTAGGGAAACTTTTTCTGGTACTGCATGTTGTAAAAAATAGAAAGTGAAAGTTCCCATTTTTATCATTCAGTGTTAATTGCCATTATGAGTTGGCTTTTAACTTACCTCTTGAGAATTATTTTGATTTAATAATTGCACTAGTTTTCTTTGGAAATCAAATGTACATAAGATAATTTATCTATGACACACAAAAATTGCAGATAACCTAAGTGTGATGTATTAAGCAATTTGTTAAATGCATTCATGTAATGGGTAGAATACTATTGATTCATTTAAAAAGATTTTAGAATAATATTTCACAACATGGGAAAATGTTTGTATTACTAGAAAAGAGTTACAAAACATAAATAGCATTATCCCAGTTTTTAAAATATATTTTATTGATTTTTTACAGAGAGGAAGGGAGAGGGATAGAGAGTGTGCCCACAACCAAGGTACATGCCCTTGACGGGAATCGAACCTAGGATCCTTGAGTCTGCAGGCCGAAGTTCTATCCACTGAGCCAAACTGGTTATATATTTGTAAAACAAAATTTGAATTTTCTTCCTACTTTTCTATGCTCACAAGGCTCTGATATAAAACTTTTGTGTATTGAATTAAAATTGCTACTCAACTGAACAAAACCACAAACATTTTGATTAACATGATTAAGCATGGGAAGTAGGATTTCATGTGTGAAATTCTGCCCACCCAATTCTTGTATCTGTAGATAAATTTTATTGCTATAGACAGTGTTTGATATTCGTTGCATTGTTTTTATAATTTTAGGCACTGAAAACATTCATACAAATAAGTAGAATGTAATGAAAGAAATTTGTTTAGCAGTGCTATTCAGTTTTTCTGGCTTTTATGCCAAAAATCATTTGCCAAAATTTATTTTTAATGGTCTCTTAGCTTATTTAGGTCTTTTTTTCAATTTTGAAAAAATAATTGGAAACCTCTTACAGTTAAAGATAAGGATTTTGTTGTTTAGCTTAGTCATTCAATTACTTAACACCTACTCTAGTGTTTTCTTTGTTTGCCTTTGTGAAGGTTTGTAATGCCTAAAGGCAGTTCACAATGGTAAGATTCAAAATGAGAGGAGATAGGGCTCTGGGTAAATGAAAGAGGGTGCCTTGTTAGTTAAGGTTGCCTTCTCAGGCAAGTCAGTTTTAAGAAAAAGTACCTGTGGAAGTTGAGATCTGGAAATATTCTCAAATTTTCCTTGGAAAATCTTATGTTACCACCCATCAAGATGTAGGTGTTTCTATTAAAAATAATACACTTACCTAAAAGTGTAGGTATCTTTTTTTTTCAAACGTCCTTAAATATAAGGATGGGCAAAAGTAGGTTTACAGTTGTGAGTACACAAAATAGTTTATTATTTATTAATTATTGTATAATTTATTTGTATTAAAACTGTAAACCTTCTTTTGCTCACCCATGTATCATATAAAGGTACACTGATAAAAGTGTTAATAAATCGTACATATGACTTAGTATTTTATTAAGTATTTTCCCAGTTCTCACACAAATCCTTGTGGAATACATATCTTTATCTTGTGAACCAATCAGTATTCTGACCAAAACAAAATCAAATGACAATGTCTCAATAAAATGAAATAATTGGGTAAAGATTATGGGGACAGGGAGGATTAATTTTTAAACACTTCCTGGTTTTCCAACCTTATCAATTTTCACAGTAGTAAGGCATCTCTACTACTGTGTTTCCCCGAAAATAAGACATCCTCCGAAAATAAGACCTACTTACAGGTTTCCTTCTGAGTGAAATATAAGACATCCCTCGGAAAATAAGGCCCCCCCCCTAGGCTAAACATGAGAGATTTGGTCCACTGATTCTGAAAGAAATGGAGACACAAGAAATTCACCAGGAAATTCAGGAATTGGATTGTTATGATGATGTTCCAGAAGATGATGACATGATTGTCATTGAATAAATGAGTAAATTCTTGATACTGTAGGATTCACAGTTTGTCTGGTTTGTGTTGACAACTACCGTACTACCGTACCGTATACAGGTAATAAATTTCCTTTTATTTTCATTTAACAATAAATATGTACCGTATTCTTCTTCATGGAAAAATAAGACATCCCCTGAAAATAAGACCTAGCGCATCTTTGGGAGCAAAAATTAACATAAGACACTGTCTTATTTTCGGGGAAACAGGATATCTAATAAAAGTAAAACGCAGCTGAAGCTGGTTTGGCTCAGTGGTAGAGCGTCAGTCTGCGGACTGAAAGGTCCCAGGTTCGATTCCGGTCAAGGGCATGTGCATTGGTTGCAGGCACATCCCCAGTAGGGGGTGTGCAAGAGGCAGCTGGTCGATGTTTCTCACTCATCGACATTTCTAGCTCTCTATCTCTCTCCCTTCCTCTCTGTAAAAAAATCAATAAAGTATATTTAAAAAAAAAAAAGTAAAATGCAAATTAACCCACAAGCCATGCTCACCAGCCAATCAGGGGTGAGTATGCAAATTAACTCAACCAAGATGGCTACAGACAGGAGGCATGGGTTTCCCCAGTAATGGAGGAAGTCAAGCTTTCTGCACACTCTGGCTGGCCCAGGCCTCCACTGAAGGCTACAAAGTTTCAATTGTAAAAGATAAATAAGCCCCAGATACCAGGGCCTCCAGCTTGGGTTGACGGGGGTGTGGCCGGCCTGCAAACCACCTCAGGCCCCTCACCCAGGCTGCCCCTTGCCTCAAGGGAACACCCATCCTGATCCAGGATACTCTTTAGGGCAAACCAGCTGGCCTCCACTTGTGCACCAGGCCTTTATTCTATCTAATAAGAGAGTAATATGCAAATTGACCGTCATTCCAACACACAAGATGACCAGGCAGGGGAGGGCAGTTGGGAGAGACCAAACCTGCAGGGGAGGGCAGTTAGGGATGACCTGGCTGGCAGAGAAGGGAAGTTGGGGGTGACTGAGCCTACAGGGGAGAGGAGTTGGGGGGGACCAGGCCTGCAGGGGAGGGCAGTTAGGGGCAAGCAGGCTGTCAGGGAAGCAGTTAGGCATCAATCAAGCTGGCAGGCAGAAGCAATTAAGGGCAATCAGGATGGGAGGCAGGTGAGCAGTTTGGAGCCAGCAGTCCTGGATTGTGAGAGAGATGTCCCAGATTGGAGAGGGTGTAGGAGGGGCTGAGGGACACCCCTCCCCCTCCATGGGGGCCTCTAGTCTCCCCCCCCCCCCTCATATTGTATATATATATGTGTGTGTAAAAGCCTAAATGGTCACTATGATGCACACTGACCACAAGAGGTCAGATGCTCAATGCAGGAGCTGCACCCCCTGGTGGTCTGCGCTACCTCAGCAGGAGTACCACTCAGCTGACCAGCAGGTATCAGACATAGGACTCATGGCTGGCTGCTGCAGCACAGAGACCATAGCGGAGCAGCGGCAGGTGCAGTGGGGCTGTGATGAGCAGGAGTGGCAGGCAGGAGCAGCAGGCAGCGTTGGACTGCCAGTTTTGTCCCAATCCCCACAGGCTATGCCGAGGGACCCCCCCCCAGTGCACGAATTCTTGCAACAGGCCTCTAGTTAAATTATAGAGTTGTTAGGTACTTTTGCCTTCTAATGTAAAAATATCCTTTATTCATGAGGTACATATGAACTTTTGAATAGTTTATGATAGAAACTCTGTAGCTTATGAAGTCTATTGTGCAAAAAATAGTTACATAAAACTCTGGTTTCTATAATAGATTAATTTGCCTAAGCAGTCTTTGAATTCAGTTGTTGCATTATCTGGGTGAAATAGGTAACTCTTTTTTGTCTTTCAAGCCAAAATTATAATTCTGATTGCCTAGTTATTTTAAGATTGCTATCAGTGATTGCATGACAGACAGTGGTGTGTGTGTATCTTTCTAATTTCTGTAGCCTTACAAAAAGGAGTACTTATTGTTATAAACTTTCACAACTTTTTTTTTCAGTGATGGAAAACTTCTTTATAAACTACTTACTGAAATAGAACTATAAGTCTCAATAATCAGTAAATCTTGTCATAGCTGGTTTGGCTCAGTGGAGAGTGCGTCAGCCTGCTGATTCTTTTTTTTTTTTTTACTGATTTTTTTACAGAGGAAGGGAGAGGGATAAAAAGTTAGAAACATCGATGAGAGAGAAACATCAATCAGTCGTCCCTGCACACCCCCCACTGGGGATGTGCCCACAACCAAGCACATGCCCTCCACCAGAATTGAACCTGGGACCCTTCAGTCCACAGGCCAACACTCTATCCTCTGAGCCAAATCAGCCAGAGCAGCCTGCGGATTCTTGATCCCCAGTAGGAGCATGCAGGAGGCAGGCAGCTAATCGGTGATTTCCTCTCATCATTGATGTTTCTATCTCTCTCCTCCCTCCCTCTATGAAATCAATAAAAATATATATTTTTTAAAATCGATGTCTTATATTAGCCATTTCATAGATATTGTTGATATCATAAAATAATTCTAGATATTGTTGGGAAGATACAAAAAATGATTCTACACAGAAAGCAGTTGTACAAACATAATCAGAGAACACTCTTGGAGTAGTTTAACTTGGGAATTTTGACCAAATAAAAACTTACATGGCCTTCTCAATTTTTCTTCAAGGATGGGTCTTCAATTAAGGAAGTTGAAACCTACCACCGGAAACGTGTTTTAAGGACTTTGAGAAAAAATGCACAGAATTCTTCAGATTCTAGTTTTGATAAGAATATGGAAGTAACAGAGAAACATGCTAATGGCGGGCATTTTACAAGGTAACACAAGTTTTCTGAATGCTAAACCATAATAGTATTAAAGTAACATTTTAGGATTTGCATTTAATTTTTAAGTGTATTCTTAACTACTCATCAAGATTCTAGGGTTATAAAATATCATTTATAAATAGTTTTATTGAAATATACCCAAGCCCATTCATTCTGTTTATGATTGCCTTCCTCCTTCAAAGCTAGAGTTGTGTGAATGTTTGTAATAGAAACTATATGGCACACAAGCCTAAAATATTTACTATTTATAGTTTACCAACTGCTATAAGGGAAAAAGTACTTCCCTTCCTCAGTAGACAAAAAGGAAAGGAAAAGTAAAACACCCCTTCAATCACTGTGTCCCTAGTTTCTAATTGGAACCTATGGTAGTTTATAAAAATAGACCTCCATGGTATGGAAGGAGGGGCTCTTTTTATGAAAATTCTATGAGCCTGTTTCACAACAGGTTTCTCAGACTTTGTTAGCCATCCTATATAATAAAAGCCTAATATGCTAAGTGACCAGTCGTCTGGTCATCCATTCACCAGTCAAAGCATAATATGCTAATAATATGCTAAGGCTGCTCAACCTATCACTATGATGTGCACTGACCACCAGGGGGTCTCCAACCGGTAGGTTAGCTTGCTGCTGAGGTTCAGCCAATGGGGACTGAGCAGAAAAGGCCGGACACACCCTGGAGCCCTTCCACAATCCAGCCCCAGCTGGCCAGCTTCTGCGTTCTGTCCTGATCATGCACCTGTGGAGTCCCTTGGCCTGATCTGTGTCCTCTCGCAATCCAGGACCCCTCGGGAGATGTTGGAGAGCCAGTTTTGGCCTGATCCCACAGGCCAGGCCAAGGGACTTCACTAATGTACAAATTCATGCACTGGGCCTCTAGTAATTTATGTAAGCATAAATATTTTCATGCTATTTTTTTAGTGTTTTTAGGTTATGTATCTATAGTTACTTACTCTCCATACTGATTTAAATTTTTGTCCTACTTTGTATATTATGAAATAGAGGATTTAAAATTGTGTCAATTATTTTGAATTATTTAATTTTTTTTTCAATAGGCAGTTGGCCAGACAGCAGGCTGATAAAAAAAAAGAAGAAAGCAAAAAAGGTAAGTAATGTTAAAGGCACTTTTGATGTTGTTAATTCTTACCTAAGGTATTTTTCCATTGAATTTAGATAGTGAGGTAGGGAGGGAGGGAAGGAGAGGAAGGGAGGAAAACATGGGTGTGAAAGGGATACATTAATCAGTTGCCTCCCACACTCACCCCAACCAGGGCCAGGGAACAACCCAGGTATGTACCCTTGACCAGGAAGTGAACCTGAGATCCTTTGGAGTGAAGGCCAACTCTAATTATTGGGCAACACTGGCCAGGACTAAAGTCATTTTGGATGTTTAAAGAACATAATGTTTTGTTTATAGGTGCATTGTAATACATACAATAAACTTCCCTTATTTAAAATATACAGTTTGTTTGATTTTGACAAAAGTATATGCTGTGACATCACCACAATAAGGTAGTGAAGATAACCATCACCCCCCGACCCCGACAGATTTCCTCAGGCCCTTTATCCCTCCTGACCCCCCAACCTTCTCCATGCCCTCTATCCCCCAAAGTTCCTGAGTATCTACCAATCTCCTTTTTGTCACTATCAATTCATTTGCATTTTGAGCATACTCTACTTATAATTTCATAATTCTATAAGTAGAATTATGTAGTACGCATTCTTTTATGGTCTAGCTACACAGCATAATTACTGTGAGATTCATCTATGTTGTTGCCTTTGTTGCTGAACAGTTCTCCATTGTATAGATACTAGAGGCCCAATGCACAAAATTCATGCAAGAGTAGGCCGTCCTTCCCCTGGCTGCCATCATGGGCTTCCCTCTGGCCACCAGCAGGCACCCAGGACCCGGGCTTCCCTCACAGCCCTGGCTTCCTCCAGAAGGTTGTGCCAAAGGACATCCAGTCTAATTAGCATATTATGCTTTTGTTATTATAGATACCACAATTTGTCCTGTCCCTTCCCCCCATCCCACCAGTTTTATTGTAATCTACATTAATAAAAGAGAAAAATGCTAATTGACCGTACCTTTGCTACATCCACAGCCAATCAGAGCCAGTATGCAAATTAACCCAACAAAGATGGCGGTTAATTTGCATACCCAGGTGCTGAGTGGCCTGAGTCCCGGAAACATCCTCTGGACCCAGGCCACTCCTAGCCTGTAGGCCTGTGTTTAGGCCCTGAGCGGCAGGAGTCCCAGAATGCCCCTTGGCCACTTGGAACTTATGAGTGCAGGTGTCAAGCAGCTGTGGGCGGGGCAGGCCCACAGCCACTTGCAGATGTGGTGGTTTGGGTCCATGCTCCCAGCCTGGGGTCTCAGGCTGGCAGCAGCATGTGGACCCACACAGTGATCTCCCCCTGCTCCAGCCTGGATTCTCAGCCACTGCGTCACACCAGCCAGGCAGATATGGGAGAATCTTAAAGGTTTCTTATTTTATATATATATTTTTTTGATGTTTTACAGAAAGGAAGGGAAAGGGATAGAGAGCTAGAAACATCTATGAGAGAGAAATATCAATCAGCTGCCTTCTCTACAGTCCCCACTGGGTATGTGCCCCCAACCAAGGTACATGGCTTTGACTGCAATCAAACCTGGGACCCTTGAATTTGCAGGCCATTGCTCCATCCACTGACCCAAACCAGTTAGGGCTGTCCAATATGTAAAAGAAAAACCCCTACCTAATAAAGAGGAAATATGCAGGGGAAGGCATTTGGGGGTGACCGGGCTGTCAGGGGAGGGCAATTGGGGACAATCAGGCTGGCAGGGGAGTGGTTAGGGGCAATCAGGCAGGCAGGCAGGCAGTTGGGAGCCAGCAGTCTAGAATTGTGAGAGGGATGTCCGACTGCCTGTTTAGGCCCGGCAGTCAGACTCCCCTGAGGGGTCCCAGATTGGAGAGGGTGCAGGTTGGGCTAAAGCACACACACCCCTGTGCACAAATTTTGTGCACCGGGCCTCTAGTCCTATATAATAAAAGCCTAGGTGGAATCATGAGACATTGTCACAAGATTGCTGCTGCAACGTCATCAGAAGATTCCCACCACAAGATGGCCAGCAGGGGAAGGAAGTTGTGGGTGATCAGGCTGGCAGGGGAGGGCAGTTTGGGGTGACCAGGCTGACAAGAAAGGGCAGTTGGGGGCAACCAGGCCGGCAGGAGAGCAATTAGGTGTCAATCAGGCCGGCCCAGGAGTGGTTAGGGGGAGATCAGACTGGCAAGCAGGTAAGCAGTTAGGAGCCAGCAGTCCTGGATTATAAGGGATGTCCATCTGCTCTCTAGAGCAGATGTTCGCTCTAGACGGATGTGCGATGAATGATGAATCAGGCCTAAACCCACAGTCACACATCCCCGGAGGGGTCCCAGATTGGAGAGGGTGCAGGCCAGGTTGAGGGACATTGCCCCCCCCCCCCACCATGCGTTAATTTTATGCACCAGGCCTCTAGTTAACATATAATGATGTATAAGTTTAAAGTGTTAAAGGAATATTGATTCGATACTCCTATGTATTGCAAAATGATACTGAAATAGCTTAGCTGACACCTGCATCTTGTCACATGATTACTATTTATTGTGGTGAGAATATTTAAGATCTACTCTCTTAACTATTTTTACAATAGCATTAACTATAATCACTCTTCTGTAGATCCTCAGAACTTACTCATAGCTAGAAATTTGTACTCTTTGACCAACATCTCTCTTTAACCTTTACCATCCAGCCCTTGGCAACCAGCATTTTTGTCTCTTGCTATGAGTTTAGCTTTTTTAGATTCCACATATAAGTGATATTATGTGGTATTTCTTTTTCCATCTAACATATTTCACTTAGCATAATGCTCTCAAAGTTCATCCGTGTTATTGCAAAGTCCTTCTTTCTCATAATAGTTCATTGTGTGTATACAGCAGGTCCTCGAATAATGTCATTTTGTTTAATGTAGTTTCTTTTTTAATATTTTTTTTTATATTTAGAGAGGAAGGGAGAGAGTGAGAAACATTGATTGGCTGCCTCCTCTAGGCCCCCTACCAGAGATGGAACTCGAAACCTAGGCATGTGCCCTGACCGGAAGTCAAACCGTCAACCTTTTGGTGCACAGGACAATGCAGAACTAACTTAGCCACACTATTCAGGGCTAGCCTCATATTTTATTGCATTATAAGATGCTGTGGGAACCTAATTCTTTTTTTTTTTTTAATATATTTTTATTGATTTTTTACAGAGGAAGGGAGAGAAAGAGGGACAGAGCTAGAAACATCAATGAGAGAGAAACATCGACCAGCTGCCTCCTGCACACCCCCTACCGGTGATGTGCCTGCATCCAATGTACATGACCTTGACCGGAATCGAACCTGGGACCTTTTAGTCCGCAGGCCAATGCTCTATCCACTGAGTCAAACCGATTTCGGCGGAATTTAATTCTTTAATTAGCCTAATGTAAAATTGGTTTCATTTTGTGTCATTTTGCTTAAAGTCACAGAGTATTTGGAAGAGTATTATGTGAAGACTAATTATATTCCTCTTTTTTTTGTTTGTTAATCCTTACCTGAGAATATTTTTTTCACTGACTTTTAGAGAGTGGAAGGGAAGGGGGGAGAGAGAGAGAAAAACACATCTATGTGAAAGAGACACATCGATTAGTTGCTTCCCACACACACCCTGACTGGGGTGGGGATCAAACCTACAAACCAGGTTCGTGCATGCCCTTGACTGGGAATCAAACCTGAGATACTTAAGTGCACAGGCTGACCCTCTATCCTAGGGGTGTCGAACTCAATCAGAGAAGGGGCCAAAATCTAAAATCCAGCCTAAATCGCGGGCCAAATGGTTTACTGAACAGTCATAAACTGTCATTGTGATGGAAACGCAGCAGAGTGCAGTGATGACAGCGCGGTGCGGGCCACACTGCAAGGCCTGGCGGGACGGATATGGCCCGCGGGCCTTGTGTTTGACACATGTGCTCTATCCACTGATTACACTAGCCAGCTCTCCATGTCTTCTTTATCCATTCATCCATTGATGGGCAATTAGGTTGTTTACCACAATTTCTTTCTTTCTCTCCCTTTCCCCCCAATTTCTTTATTCATCTTTTGTTGGATGTTTGGGTTATTTTCAGTTTGGTGCTAACACAAAACTGCTTTTAACATTTGTGTCCAAGTCATTGTGTTATATATATCTTTCCTTTTCTCTTGAGAATGGAATGGCTGGACTATATGATAAGAATATGTTGTTAACTTCAATTTTGTTTTCTAATATTTTAATAAAAGCTAAGTTCAAGATACTATAATTCTGTTATGTGAAAGTGTAGCTGTTCAGTCGTTTATTTTAGAGTTCTTTTTAAAGTGCTATTTCTATTTCTACTTATTTTCATGTATTCATCTATGAAGACAAAGTAATTCCAGTTACTCGGTCATTGAGGACAAGAAACATTGTTCAGACTCCAGAACACTTGCATGAAGAGAATGGTGATGTTGAAGTTCGCCGCAGTTGTAGGATTAGAAGTCGTTACAGTAGTGTGAACCAGTCTGTGCTATTTGATAAACTTATAACAAAGTAAGTGAAAATTATTTAGATCAAGATGATTTAGGTGACAAAAACTTTTTGTAGGGGAGGGGTCATAAATTTTAACTAGCCTGAATATTTAATACATTTAGTTTATGTTAAGCATAAAGAAGAATTATTACTAGAGGACTTTATAATAATTCTGTATACATAAATTATTTTTGAAAATATAAAAAATATACAAGTAAATTAAGAAATAGAGATATTTAAAATGCTAGTACTCAAAGAATAAAGTGGAAGGAAAATTAAGTTTTTTAAAATGCAATATTTTACAGTGTTAGCTTTATATATATTTTTTAAAGCACTGCTGAAGCTGTTCTTCAAAAAATGGATGACATGAAGAAGATGCGTAGACGGCGAATGAGAGGACTAGAAGACTTGACAGTGTTTAATGAAACAGAAGAAGTAAATATATTTTTCCATCAAGGGGATGATTTAATAATCTTTAACATTTTCTATAGTACCTACCCCCCCCCTTTTTTTTTTTGTTAAATTGATCATCGTTTTATTCCGCATTTGTTTGACTAGTCACTAGTTATTGCTGGAGTTGTAAGAGTTTATGGCTGTAAATATATTTATTTTAAGCAATATTGGAAGGTACTATTGAATTTCTTAAATAAGTGTACTAAATGTTAATGGCTTTTATTTAAATGTTTTTAGGGGAATCTTAATATGTACCCAAGAGGAAAACAAAAAAGTATTCAAAGAACTGATGAAGAAACAACTGATAATCAAGAAGGCAGTGTGGGTTAGTCTTTTCTCTTGTTCTGTCCCTGAGTTTTAATATGAGTACTTTTATTTAGTAGAATGTAGCCTTTTTATTCAAAAGCTCTGACTTTTATAGTAGTTTGGGAGAGATCAGAGTAGTGGTCATTTTTATTATTTTTTTAAAATATATTTTATTGATTTCAGAGAGGAAGGGAGAGGGAGAGAGAGAAATACCAATGATGGGAGAGAACCATTAATCAGCTTCCTTCCGCATGCTCCCTACCGAGGATCAAGTCCAAAACCCAGGCATGTGCCCTTAACTGGAATCGAACTCAGGATCCTTCAGTCCGCAGACTGATGCTCTATCCACTGAGCCAAACCAGCCAGGGCAGTGGTCACAATTTAAAAGAAAAAAGTGAGGGCAGGGAGAGCTTAAAGGATAGTATTTGGGAAAGTATTTGAAATTAACTATTCTAAAGTAATAAAACTGGTTTTCTTATGTAATACAAGATAACATATCCAGATAACGTATTTACCTATTTTTATTTTTAAAAGAAATTATTAAAGTTTTGCTATTCTGTTTAGGACTTATTACTATACTCTGTTAGAAATTTTCTTGAGTGAAAACCAGTTGTCGGAAATGCATTTTAAGTGTTTGGTGTTTAAATGATCATAAGTAGATTATTTGAGTTATTCTCTTATGTAACTCAGTGACAGCCAGAAAAGCTGGATGGAATATCCAAACTGAAATTTAAAAGGCAAAAAGCTAAAGAAGGAGATACTTAAATTTGTCAACATGTTACATTTTCTTGAAGCTTACCAGTATAGTTATCTGTATTTATGAAATTAGCAGTAATACCATAGACTTTAATTTGGTACCTACTGACAGTAGCCTTTATTTTTAATTTATTTTTTAAATTTTTATTTATTGATTTGAGAGAGAGTGAGAGAGAAAATGAAACTCTGATTTATTGTTCTATTTATTTATGCATTCATTGGTTAATTCTTGTATGTGATCTGAACCTGCCACTTTGGTGGATCAGGATGACAATCTAACTGATTGAGCTATCTGGCCAGGGCTAACAGTAGCCTTTAAATTTTTTCTCTAGTTCCTTTTTTCTTTCTCTAGTTGTTTTTAATTCTACAATTATTTTATTTCATTAAAAAGTTATTTAATGTTGTGAAAGAATTAGATTTTTATATATATACTAGAGGCCTGATGCATGAAGATTTCGTGCAAGAATGGGCCTTCCTTCCCCTGGCTGCCAGCTCTGCCTTTGCTCTGGCCAGAGCCGCCTTTCTGCCTTCCCACACTGCCCAGAGGCCCAGAGCTGCTGGGGCAGTGCAGAACGCCTGCGTTGTCACCCCTGGCTGCTCGGCACTTGTGTATGCAAATTAACCTGCCATCTTTGTTGGGTTAATTTGATATGCATACTCCTGATTGTCTGTTGGGCATTGTGGAGGTACAGTCAATTTGCATCTTTCTCTTTTATTAGTGTGGATAAATATTTATTGATTTCAGAGAGGATGGGAGAGGGAGAGAAACATCAGTGATGAAAGAGAATCATTGATCAGCTGCCTCCTGCACACCCCCTACTGGGGATCAAGCCCTCAACCCAGGCATTTGCTCTTAACCAGAATCAAACCCAGAACCCTTCAGTCCTCAGGCCAATGCTCTATCCACTGAGCCAAAGCAACTAGGGCAGAATTAGATTGTTTTATACAAGAAGCAATCAATGAATACATAAATAAGTGAAATAACAAATTGATGTTTCTCCTTTCCCCTCTCTCTGAAATCTATCAATAAAAAAAATGTAAAGAAAAAATTAAATTTTTTCTATGAATAAGCTAGAAGAGCCTGGCTGGTATGGATTGGTGGTTTGAGCATCAATCTATAAACCAGAAGGTCACTCTTTGATACCCTATCAGGGCACATGCCCAAGTTATGGCCACAATCCCCAGTGGGGAATGTGCAGGAGGCCGCTGATCAATGATTCTCTCTCATCGATGTTTTTATCTCTCCCTCTCCCTTCCCCTTTGAAGTCAATAAAAATATATTAAAAAGAAGAAGAAGAATCTAGAAGTAAATATATTTTAACAAAGGGGCTCTTTCTCAGTTACCCTATGTTAAAAAGTGTTAACATTTTGGTGTGATTATCCTAATAAATATTTTTAAATTGTAGAATCATCTGAAGAGGGTGAAGACCAAGAAGATGAAGATGATGGTGAAGAGGAAGATGATGAAGATGAAGAAGATGGAGAAGAAGATAATCAGAAACGATATTATCTTAGACAGAGAAAAGCTACTGTTTACTACCAGGCTCCATTGGAAAGTAAATGCTATTTTTTCCCCAGGAGATATAATTTTATTACCTTTGTCTTTCTGCCCTTCCTCTTTTATTATGTTTTTAGTTTTTATTTTGCATAATACACATAGTTTTTGTCTTTCTTAACCTATCTTAAAAGTGCAATAAGTCAATTCTTCGAAAAAGAGTTAAATTTTAGTTATTACCCAAAGCAAATAATTGAGCTGTTTTGAAATTTCATGTCTGTCTTTAATTATTTTATATCATACAGCTTTCTACTTAATTTGTCAGTTTATATAAATATAACTGCTTATTGTTTATGTTAAAGTTGTGCCTCAATGCTTAAGATAGTTGTGCCTCATGCAGTTCTGATAGTGAGCTGTTATCTGTCAGTATAATCATAATGGTCATTTATGGTCAGTGTACGTTTGGTTGTTGGTGTATGTGCTATACATATTTTCAGTAGTAGCCCTGCAGACATAAATAATTGGAAATATGAATTGTAGGATATTCTATAGTAGATGTGTACCGGTACTAATATTTTCATGGAAGGGGCAGCACCTTTGAAAATGTTTATATGAAGAACAAAATTACCTTCAAACATATTCAAATGTCATGTACATTCTTACTCCTTCTTTTAGAACCTCGTCACCAGAGAAAGCCTAACATATTTTATAGTGGCCCAGCTTCTCCTGCCAGACCAAGATATCGATTATCTTCTGCCGGACCAAGAAGTCCTTACTGCAAACGAATGAACAGGTTTGGTTTTGAAGTAGTAATTGATTTATGACATAGTTGTGTCTATGTTACGGTAGGATTCTAGAGTCTTGGGATTGAGGATATCAGAATAGAATTCTAGAATTGTATATTTGGGGAAGTAGTTAACTCTGCCTGTAGTGCTTTAATTTCTACTACCACTGACTAGTTTTTGCTTCCACTAATAGGAATTGTTAGTAACTACCATGGTAAGGTAGTTTACTCCGTTGTTCCACACTTTAATAATAGAGAGCTTCCTTTGCTTCAGTGTTTACTGTATTCCTAGCTTGGTATTAAGCATTTTATGTAGACTGTTTTCTTTAGTCTTTACATTAAGTTAAATATAGGTTTAATTTTGTCTCCACATACTATCACAAATATATTTTCCTAAGATGAAAAGCCTTCTAAGTTACATTGCTTCTAGATTTGTCACGACTCTGACCATCTTTTTCTGGATTGATCTTAAAAATTTATTTTATATATGTAGTGTTAATTTTCTCTATTTAAATTATTTGTGTGTTTCTTTTTTCTTCCACATCCCAACTTTTGTTGCTTGTTTTTTATATTTAAATCCAAAGAGGTAATTGTTGTTATTTCCTCTTTCTCCTAAGTAGTAAAAGTTTTTCTGACCTATTAGAACTTTCTGGATAATAGTAACATTGTAGTTGTTCATGAGTGAGAGAGCTTGTTAGAGAAAACTAAAAGGGCAGGAAAAAATGACACTGGGGTGGGAAATGGCACTTTTTTCCTAATAGTAATTTGCTCAGAAGTGAGACTGAAGTCCTGTGAGAATTCAGCTATTTGAACAGTTCTTAAAAGATTCCTCCCAGAAGCAGACTATCTATCTGATCATGTTTTGGTCATGGAAGGCAACACCTTTGTAGGTGCTGACAAATTTCCTGTCTTTTCGGAAAAATATAAAATAAATCTGTGTCCCTGTGACTCTTTAATTTCAGAGTGCCAAAGTCACAATTGTACATTCTAGATTTCTTGTATCATCATCCCTTTTCTCACAACTAGAAGACCAGGAAGGCAAACTCAAGATAAATTGTACTTGAAAGGAGGCCACATTGTCAATATTTTTCGTAGGTTCCTCGTTAAAGACCATTATTTTGATAGTGAAATTTAATTATCTTCAGAAAAGGAGAGTAAGGCATATTACTCCCTGGAGTCCCCAACAATCATAAGGCCCAGGCAGTTCTTGGTTGCCTGACTCAAGGGATAGATCTCTATTTGATTCAGCAGAAGTGAGAGGCTGGCAGTTACTTTGAGATTTAATTTCTTCCCTCATCTTTGTTGTAAGTAGCATACTGGAAATAACATACTTGTTGACTGATTACCTCTACAATCACCACCTACCGTATATCTTGTAGCAGGTAAGAAACTTTTTGCCCCTTTTGGTTCACAGAGTCTGCACTTTCTCTATATGAAGTGTCTCACATTGTTGCATAGCTTCTTGGGTGCAGGGTTTCCCCCATCCCCCTTCCAATTATTTTATTTTATTTTTTAATATATTTTATTGATTTTACACAGAGAGGAATTGAGAGGGACAGAGAGTTAGAAACGTTGATGAGAGAGAAACATCGACCAGCTGCCTCTTGCACACCCTCCACTGGGGATGTGCCCGCAACCAAGGTACATGCCCTTGACCGGAATCAGTCCACAGGCCGACGCTCTATCCACTGAGCCAAACCGGTCCCAGCCCCCATTCCAATTATTTAACAAATGTTTGAGTACTTCCATGTACCAAGTACTATGGATATAAAACTGATGAAGCCAGGATTCCTGCCCTTGGATGTCATAGGCTAGTGGAGGATCCTGGCACATTTAAATTAAAAGTACTATGAACTATGATTTACTATGTATCCTAGAGTCATATTATGTGACTTACTGACCTTCTTGGTATTGGTTTTGATAACCCTTTAAACAATTTTTCTTTGATACAGCTTTATTGGGACATGATTCACATATATATAGTTTACCAATTTAAAGTATACAATTCAATAGCTTTTAGTATATTCACAGAGTTGTGCAACTATTACCACAGTAAATTTATTTTAAAAATCTCATAATGTTTTTTATTTTAAAAATGTTTATTGATTGATTTGAAAGACAAAGTGAGAAACATCGATTTTATTGTCCCGTTTATTTATGCATTCTTTAGTTGATTTCTTATATACTCCCTGATTGGGGGTTGAACCTAGTATATGGGGACGACACTCTAATCAACTGAGCTACCTGACTAGGGCCCACAATAATTTTAGAATATTTTTCTTGCCTGTACTCTTTAGTTATCACCCCCCGCTCCCAATATTTCTACCCTACCCTAACAACCCCTCCCCTCCCCCCAGCCCTAAGCCACTTTCTGTCTTTATAAATTTGCTTATTTTGGGTATTTCATATAAGTGGAATCTCTTGTGACTAGCTTCTCTCACTTGTTATAAATACTTTCAAGGTTCTTTAGTGTAGTGGTATGTATTAGTACCTCATTCCTTTTCATTGCCAAATGAGATTCTGTTGTATAAATATACCATATTCATTCATCAGTTGATGAACATTTGGGTTGTTTCCACTTTTTGGCTGTTATGAATAATGCTACTGTGAACATTTGTATACAACTTTTTGTTTGGATATATGTTTTCATTTATAACCTAGAAGTAGAATTGCTTGGTCAAATGCTAACTATATTTAATGTTTTGAGGAGGTGCCAGATTATTTTTCAAATGACTGCCTCATTTTACATTCCCAACAGCCAGAGTTCTAGTTTCTCCTTGTCTTTCTAACACTTGGAATTATCTGGCCTTTTGAATGTAGCCCTTTAAACCTTTTTTTTTTTTAACTTCCTTCACAAGGTGATATGAACATCTCAATTTTTTTCTAACAACTTTAATGATGCTTTGCTTAGCCTTTTTATTTTTTAGACCAGCTTTTGTTTATATTCATGTTCTACTACAACTACTTAGTTAGGCACAGAAACAAAGCACACATCCAAAGAATCACTTGAACATTGCTTTTAGTATCTTGGAAAATGGTTAAAGCTTTCAGCCACAGTGTGGGAGTTTCCAATGGTCTTTTGGCAACTTATCATAGAGCTTCAGGAATACTGCCTTTAAGCAGGATTTTCTTCCTTCCTTATGAGTGATAACCTCTAGTCATCTAAAGATTATTCTTTAGCTTGATCTGCAGTTTCTGGAACAAGCCTAGTCCCTCTGAACAAGAAGATAATATAATAATACAGTTGTCTCACCAGTATATTCCAAAGTACTCCTTTCGACTTATATACATGCATATAAGTGCAACCAATGGACATAAAACTCTAGGAAGGGAGGGTATGTATAAGAGGGAGGAGGGCAAAAAAAAAATCAATAAAATATATTAAAAATAAATAAAAATAAATGCCTGCTCTGATGTGACAAAAAAAAAAAAAAAAGTACTCCTTCCTTGCTAAGGAACTACAACTGGCTACTCTACACTGTGGTTAGGCTTACAGTGCTTGTCATGCTAAATTTTTCAACAGTTTTTAATAAAATGAAAAAAACGTTCACACACACAAATATGAATATGTATGTTTATAATCTTTTAAACTGAAATAATGGCCTTTCTTCAGTATAGAAAAATTATGAAGAACCTGGACCCATGATTATGACAGCTCATGTTGCCAGCTCAGTTCCACCACTTATTTGTGACTTTGGACAAGTTACGTAATCTCTCTATGCTTCAGTTTTTTGCTTTATTGTTTTGTTTTGTTTTAAGTATTTTTATTGATTTCTTATAGAGAGGAATAGAGAGTTAGAAACATCGATGAGAGAGAATCATTGATCAGCTGCCTCCTGCACACCTTCTACTGGTGATGTGTCTACAAACAAAGTACATGCCCTTGATCAGAATCGAACCTGGGACCTTTCAGTCCACAGGCCAACACTCTATCCACTGAGCCAAACCAGTTTTGGCCTATGCTTCAGTTTTTTTATCCCCACAATGGGGGTAATAGCACCTATTTTGTAATATTGTGAGAATTAGATGACTTAATACATGTAAACCTTTTAAAATAGTATCTGGCACATATTAAGGGCTACATGTGATTGTTGTTGTAACTATACTTGAATGTTTTAAAATAATTCAGATTTGTAAGTCAAATGTTGAAAATTTTATGACAGTCCACAAAGTCTTGTTGTTTGCTTGTAACTTTACTGGTTTGTGAAATAAACAACTGGAAATTACCAGTATAGTAATGTATAGAATGCGGATTTTTGGAATAGACAGACATGAGGTTTTATTTGTGTGTGTTTTTAAAAAATATATATTTTATTGATTTTTACAGAGAGGAAGGGAGAGGGATAGAGAGAGAAACATCTATCAGCTGCCTCCTGCACACCTCCTACTGGGAGGTACACAGGCAAGGTACATGCCTTTGACCAGAATCAAACCTGGGACCCTTCAGTCCACAGGCAGACACTCAGTCCACTGAACCAAACTGGCTAGGGCGACAGGCATGAGTTTTAATGCTGATACCATCATTGACTAATTCTGATATTTTGAACAAGTTCTTTTAACTGTGAGCCACATTAGCTCTGACTGTAAAATGAGCCTACTAATAAGTACTTTTCCAAAATTTTAATTAATATTATATGAGACTAGAGGCCTGGTGCACAAAATTTGTGCACTGTGTGTGGGGGGGCGGGGGGGATATTCCTCAGCCCAGCCTGCACCCTCTCCAATCTGCGACCCCTTGGAGGATTTCCAACTGCTGGTGTAAGCCCCATTCTTGCAGGCTGGGGCCTAAATCAGTAGTTAGACATTTCTCTCACAATTTGGGACTGCTGTCTCCTAACTACTTGCCTGCCTGGCTGCCTGATTGCTCCAACCACTCTGACTGCCAGCCTAATTGACACCTAACTGCTCCCCTGCCAGCATGATTGACACCTAATCACTCCCCTGTTGACATGATTGACACGTAACTGCTCCCCTGCCAGCCCAATCACCCCCAACTGCCCTCCCCTGTAGGCCTGGTCACCCCAACTGCCCTCCCCTGCTGGCCATCTTGTGACAATGTGGGGGTGACCATCTTGTGACAACATGGGTGTGAGGACCAATTTGCATCTTTATTATATAGGATAATATGTCAACTACTTGGTACAAGAAGCACTTAGTAAATGTTAGTCTCTTTTTTTAAATTGTGAAGTTAGTCTTAATTATATGTGAATTCACATATAATTATGTGACTGCAAGTTAGAATCTTTATAATATTTATATATATAAAAGGCTAATATGCAAAGTGTCTCCATAGGAGTTCGATCACTCACTATGATGTGTGTTAACCACCAGGGGGTGGCATGGAACAAAGGAAGGCACCAGCCGGCGGCTGGCAGCCAGGGAAGGGAGACCCTGTCCGGCAACCGGAAGGCTCCAATTGGCCCTGATTGCTGGCCAGGCCTAGTGATCCTACCTGTACTCTAATTTTGTGCACTAGGTTTCTAGTTGTAACATAAAATAGGTAGGTTTTTTAATATAAAATTTCAGTCTTATACTAGACTAGAGACCTGGTGCACAAATTTGTGCACAGGTGGGATCCCTTTGCCTGGCTGTCTCGCCCAGTCCAGAGAGAGGGACAGTGGGAGGTTGGTCAACTTAGGGGAGAGACCATAGGAGTTTGGCTGTGGGAGTGCACTGACCACCAGGGGGCAGCTCCTGCATTGAGCATCTGCCCCCTGGTGGTCAGTGTGTGTCATAGCGACTGGTTGACCAGTCAACTGGTCGTAATGGTTGCTTAGGATTTTATATATATATATAAATTTTTTAGTTTCAGGCTGATCATAAAGGTGTTCTTGGACATGTTTGGGTAGGTGGACAGTGAAGGATTTTCTCACTTATATCTATGTTTCCATAACCCTTTTTCCAAAACCCTAGGGGCCATTGGTGCTTCACAATTCAGATTTTTTTTTTTTTTAATATATTGATATTTTACAGAGAGGAGGAAGGGAAAGAGATAGAGAGCTAGAAATGTTGATGACAGAGAAACATCGACCAGCTGCCTCTTGCACACCCCCTACTGGGGATGTGCCCGCAACCAATGTACATGCCCTTGACCGGAATCGAACCTGGGACCTTTCAGTCCGCAGACCGACGCTCTACCACTGAGCCAAACCGGTTTCGGCCACAATTCAGATTTTTGAGAGGGGATTTACAAAGGTAACATGCAACACAAACATCTCCAATGGTGTCTGGGCCAGCACTCCTTAGTCAGATACATTAATTCTATAGGAGAAGATATGAATAATCATAGTAAGTGGGACTAATGGAGACTGAATTGCTTTTATGACATTTCAGATCATATTTTGCTAAATGTGTAATGGAAAAGCTTGTGTTCAGAATTTTTTAGGTATGAGATTTTGGACCTACCTACATTATACAGACAATAGAAAAGTGAACCTTTTATATTTTTGGAAATACCTACTTAACCATGATTGCACTCTGACTCAGAAAAAGCTCTAGACCTGAAGCCAATGGAATAATTAAAGGTTTTCTAGCCAGATTTTTTTGTGTTTGGTGTTTTGTTTTGTTTTTTATTTGTTTCCTTTTTCCCTGTGGGTCTTTTGCAACTGTTCAAAATGTAGTAGAAATGATTTAAAATTTCTTTGAATATTCGTAGCACTTGAGACCTTATTTAATACTATCAACCAAGCTAAGAATTTCATTATAAATTTTTTTGTGTGAGAAGATTGAGATATGGGTTTGGCAACTCATTTACATTTACACAGTGGTTAAGTGGTAGTTGTGAATTTACAGTTGCTGATATACTGTAGATAAAAGGCATTTTATTTGTCCCTGTTTCCTAGCACTTTTTTTTAACCCTTCTTGATCCCTTCTGGTTTGCATAATAATTCTCATGTTCTCCTTCAAAGATTATTTGACATTTTAAAATGGGTAATTCCCTTCCAAATGTAAAATTTTATATTCTATAATATTGAAAATAATTTGCTAAAATTACAGTCTCAAAGATTCTAATCTTTATCTCAGCTTTCTTTGAGTAACTGATTTATATAAAGCCTGAGAACTTAAGAGTAACTGTCTAGACCCATGGTCAGCAAATTGCGGCTCTCGTGCCTCATGTGGCTCTTCGGCACCTTGAGTGTGGCTCTTCCACAAAATACCACGGCTTGGGTGAAGAAGTGGCGTTAGAAGTTTAAGTTTAAAAAAATTAGCTCTCAAAAGAAATCTCAATTGTTGTACTGTTGACTAAAAAGTTTGCTGACCGCTGGTCTAAACTGTATGCTGTCTTAGTGAACATTTGATGGTCAGCTTACCACAGCCTTTTATCTTTTTTCCCTTTCCTCTTAGTTATCCAAGTCTTTTATTTCCTTTAAAAAATTTAGCCAACAAAGCTTACTTCATTGGTTCAGCAAATTTATTCATTTTAGGGTAAGCCATTTGGGATTATTGGGAATTTCTGATGTTTACATCTTATGCCTTTCTTCCCTGCCATTCTTCATTATGATTTTAGTTTCTTCTTTACTTCAGGCGAAGGCATGCAATTCACAGTAGTGATTCCACTTCCTCTTCCTCTTCTGAAGATGAGCAGCACTTTGAGAGGCGCAGGAAAAGGAGTCGTAATAGAGCTATCAACAGGTAAATGTTACTTCAAGCCTTTTAAAACTACCACCTTTTTTTCTTAATGGTGAGAAAGCTGAATAATTTGGGAATAAGAATAGCTTGACTGATTAAAAAATTATACAACAGATTAATGTATAATAACAATGCAGCCATAGCTGGTTTGGCTCAGTGGATAGAGCATTGGCCTGTGGACTAAAGGGTCCTGTGTTCATTTCTGGTCAAGGGCACATAAGGCGATCAGGCCACGGGGGTGGGGGGAGTGCGGGGGTGGGGGCAATTATGGGTGACCAGGCAGGCAGGCAGGTGAGTAATTATGAGCCAGCTGTCCAGGATTGTGAAAGGGATGTCCAATTGCCAGTTTAGGTCCGATTCCAGGGACATCCTCTGAGGGGTCCCAGATTGGAGAGAGTTCAGACCTGGCAGAGGGCTCCCCCACCACAACCACTACCACCTGTGCACGAATTTCGTGCACCAGGCCTCTAGTTATAATGTGTATTGATACAATCTGAATTTTCAGTCATGAATTACCTTATGGTGATGCAACTTCTTAAAAATTGGTATTTTCATTTGATTGTATGTCTTTAATAATAAAGCTTCAGATATAACTATTTTCTAACAAATTCTCAACCTATATAGAAAATGAGGAAACTGAAATTCATAATCTTAAGATTGCTGTAGTTGAAATTTAATTTATTTTGAAATTTTTAAGAAAAATGCGTGTGCTGAAATCGGTTTGGCTCAATGGATAGAGTGTTGGCTTGAGGACTGAAGGGCCCCGGGTTCGATTCCGGTCAAGGGCATGTACCTTGGTTGCAGGCATATCCCCAGTAGGGGGTGTGCAAGAGGCAGCTGATCAATGACTCTCTCTCATCGATGTTTCTAACTCTATCTCCCTTCCTCTCTGTAAAAAATCAATAAAATATATTTTAAAAAAAAAAAAGAAGAAAAATGTGTATATTTTAACATGGCATTTGGGGGAGAAAGGTGAGTTGATGGTTTTGTTTATATTTTTTCACATCTTTTTAAAAAATAGGTGCCTGCCACTAAATTTTCGGAAAGATGAATTAAAAGGAATTTATAAAGATCGAATTAAAATTGGAGCAAGCCTTGCTGATGTTGATCCAATGCAATTAGATTCTTCAGTGAGTACTGTCCTAAAATATATGTTTCAACTGTAATAATTTTAGTTTTAAAGGTGTTTTTTTATCAGAAAGTTTAATTTTTACAGATTTTTCTTTTTTACCTTTAGACCACAACTAAGATATATTTTAATGTTAACTCAGTTGATTGTGTGTAGGTTGTGTATAGTTTAGGAATAGAGTGACATTTTAACATTTTAACTTTGACTCTAAATCAAAGAATGTCTATATTTCCCTTTCATCACCAGGTACGATTTGATAGTGTTGGTGGTCTGTCTAATCATATTGCAGCTCTAAAGGAGATGGTGGTATTCCCATTACTTTATCCGGAAGTCTTTGAAAAATTCAAAATTCAACCTCCAAGGTAATTTAATTATACATTTTATTTTAGCCAAAAATCTGCATTATTCAACTGTTGTCCAGAAAGATAATGCTTCTCTGTTGAAATATTTTAGGTCTACAATAATTTGTATGTTTTTCCTGCAAGGTCCTCAGTGCTTTGAATATTTTTACTTAATGTTTAGCATAAAAAATGATTTCAAAAAGATTCTCCATGGAGAAAAAAAGATTGTCCATGGTTTTTCAAACATTTAGTGAAATTCCTTCCATACATACTTTTTTCTCATTTTTAAATTTTAGTTTAAATTTGTATCATAGTAATATATGTACATAGTTTAAAAATTAAATTGTGCTGTAAGTCTTTAAAGAAAGGTAGTGCCCTAACCGGTTCGATTCTAGTTAAGGGCGTGTACCTTGTTTGTGGGCACATCCCCAGTAGGGGATGTGCAGGAGGCAGCTGATTGATGTTTTTCTCTCATCGATGTTTCTAACTCTCTCTCTCCCTCCCTTCCTCTATAAAAAATATCAATAAAAATGTATTTTTTTTTTTTTTTAAGAAAGGTAGTAGCCCACTTCTCTGTTCTCCATTTCACTTCCCATCTCCATGGAAAATTAATTTAAGTAAACTTTTAAAATTAGTAAGCTTTTATTCTTTTGCATTGTAAAAGTTGTATACTATAAAATAATCAGTTAAAACATTGGTGAAGCCGGCACCGGTTTGGCTCAGTGGATAGAGCGTCGGCCTGTGGACTGAAAGGTCCTGGGTTCGATTCCGGTGAAGGGCATGTACCTTGATTGCGGGCACATCCCCCATGGGGGTGTGCAAGAGGCAGCTGGTCGATGATTCTCTCTCATTGACGTTTCTAACTCTCTATCCCTCTCTCTTCTTCTCTGAAAAATCAATAAAATATATATATTTTTTAAAAAAAACATTGGTGAAATTCAGTTTTTGTCTTTAAATTTACTTTTCAGAAATATTACTCCATAAAAATTTTTAATCAGATATTAATATTAAGTAATAGCATTTCTTACAGGAAGTATTGGAACTATCTACTTAAAATATTTTAGTGAACTTGAAAAGGAAGAACAAAATCCCTGAAATTTTTCCTCTTATTTCACCTTTACAACATGTATTTATTCCCATAGAAATCAAATATATGATTGTGTAAACTTGTTTTCATATTTTCTCTTTGTATTTTAATAACTAATATTCCATTATGTGATTGTGTCACATTTTATCTGCTTTTGCTGTTGCTAACTATAGTTTTTTTCTAACTTTTCATAATCATAGTGTCAATATAATGTACATCTCATTGCTTCCTCTTTGTGTAAATCCTTGATTCCTTCTTGAAAATGTAGTCTCACGCCGAAACCGGTTTGGCTCAGTGGATAGAGCATTGGCCTGCGGACTGAAAGGTCCCAGGTTCAATTCCAGTCAAGGGCACGTACATTGGTTGCGGGCACATCCCCGGTACGGAGTGTGCAGGAGGTGGCTGGTCGATGTTTTTCTCTCATCGACGTTTCTGGCTCTGTATCCCTCTCCCTTTCTCTCTGTAAAAAATCAAGAAGGTATATTTTTAAATAAATAAAATATAGTCTCACAAATTAGATTGTTGGCTAAATAGATACATTTTTATTTTTTTAATATATTTTTATTGATTTCAGAGAGGATGGGGGAGAGAGAGAGAGATAGAAACATCAATGATGAGAGAGAGTCATTGATCTGCTGGCTCCTTAAAGCCCCTCATAGGGATCAAGCCCAAAACCCGGCATGTGCCCTGACCAGGCTGTGACCTCCTGGTTCATAGGTCAGTGCTTAACCACTGAGCCTCACCAGCTGGGCTCAATAGATATGTTTTTAAAATCTGTACCTACCTTGTTTTTTGTACGTTGAAATCACTTTTTTCCCCCCATTTGTTTGTTTAGTTGTTTTCTTACCAGCTACTTTGTTTTTTACATCTCTACTTGATTGCCCCTATCTTACTGTCTTTTATATTTTATTAATTTTTAGTAGATTTCATCTGTCACTTGTGACTTATCCCCTGTCATTCTTATTTTGTCATTTTTGCTTTTCTGGGATTTTCCTTTTAAGTGTTTCTTTTCAAGGGTAGTTATTTGATGATCCAAAACTGATTATTTCATATTAGTTTGATAGACTTTTAATTTATGACATATATTTCTATACTCTTTTAACATTTCTATTAATTCTGAGCCTGACTGGTGTGACTCGGTGATTGAGCATCAACCTATGAACCAGGAGGTCACAGTTCAATTACCTGTCAGGGCCACCTGTCCAGTTGCCAGTTCAATCCCCAGTAGGAGGCGTGTAGGAGGCAGCCGATCAATGATTCTCTCTCATCATTGATGTTACTCTCTCTCTCCTTCTCCCTTCTTCTCTCAAATCAATTAAAAAAATCTATATTTTTAAAAAAGAATTATGAGTAAAGTTCATTTTATCAGAATTCTATCCTAAGAGCAACAAATAACTAGAACTTTGTGGGGGCGAGGAGGGGGGTGCAAAAAACAGGTTACCCTATGGCAGTGGTGTCACAAAAGTTATTTTAAATTATTTACACTTAGTCCCTACCACCAAACCTCCGTTATTTAAGTTCTCTCTTATCTTCCTTTCCTATTTAGTCCCCACATACTTTTTAACAAAACTTTTAGTGTTATGTTACTGAGATGAAGCCAAAGATTTTAAGCTATGAAGTCTTTTTAAGTGTAACTTTATGTGTAACTTTAAGTGTAACTTTTTAAGTGTAACCTTTCCTTTATTTAGGAAAGGTTACACTTAAAAAGTCAATGAATGAATAAAAGAAAGTATGTTTTATACTTCATCTTAGCCAAAAGACCAAGACTTGATTAAAAGAAGATGTGTTTTAAATAAAGGTTTTTATTTAGTTTCGGTATTAATTTTTTAGTGTCAATATTAATTCCAAGGTTTTAAGTTGTGCTCTGTGAATTGAAATATTTCAATTGTCTCATTTACTTTTTTTAAAAAATACGTTTTTATTGATTTTAAATTTGAAGGGAGAGGGAGAGTGATAGAAACATCAATGATGAGAGAGAATAATTTATCGGCTGCCTCCTGCACTTCCCCTATTGGGGATCGATCCCACAACTGTGCATGTGCCCTTGACTGGAATTGAACCTGGGACCCTTCAGTCCACAGGCTGATGCTCCACCCATTGAGCCAAACTGGCTAGGGCTCATTTATTTTTTATTCACTAATTAGGTACACTCATGAAATTGGTTTGTAATTTTGTCTAAATAGTCTTATTTTTTTATGTACCGTATTTTTCGGACCATAAGACGCACTTTTTTCCCCCCAGAAGTGGGGGGGAAAAGTCCCTGCGTCTTATGGTCCAAATATAGCCTACACATATACTTTTAAAAAAAAGTTTTTTTACTTGCCCAGCTCTGTGTGGTCTCTGTGTGCTTGCCCAGCTCTAAAATGGTTCTAAATGCTGCTGTTTACTTTACAGGGTTGATTACATGTGTTTATGACTGTGATGTTGGGTTTTAATGCACATAAAATATTTTAGGACACTATTTGTTTCAGAATCTTTTTTTCTTCATTTCCCTTCTCTAAAAACTGGTGCGTCTTATGGTCTGGAGCGTCTTATGGTCCGAAAAATACGGTAGTAATAATAAAATAATACTTATTCTTTTACAGAGGTTGTTTGTTTTATGGCCCACCTGGAACCGGAAAAACTCTGGTTGCTAGAGCTCTTGCCAATGAGTGCAGTCAAGGGGATAAAAGAGTAGCATTCTTCATGAGAAAAGGTGCTGATTGTCTAAGTAAATGGGTAGGAGAGTCTGAAAGACAGCTACGATTGCTATTTGATCAGGTATGATATTAAAATTTACCTATATAGATTTTTCAGTCATTGTAGATGGAAGTATGTAAGGATTAGATAAATCTTGCATTTGATTACTTTTCATAAAGCAAAAATTCAGAAGACTTAATCCAAATATATAATCTTCCTAGATTATTTTTCTTTGTGTATTAAGATAACACTGACCTATAAGGAATAGTTTTATAGTAAGAAGAGAAAGGAATGATTGGATCTAAGTTCTTTGGAGTCCTAGAACCTAGAAAGAGAGCGCTAATTTCATACTTAGGGAGATAACAATAGTGAGCTATGTCTTCATAGAAGATTAGTTCATCCCTAGACTGGCTTTAATTGTATATGGCAGATTGTATTAACAACATATTGTGAGATAATACATTCTGATCTACTAAGGCATATTATTACAGATGCTTTTAAATCTCTTTAAATTGAGAATTTTTGTTTTAACTTTACTGAGGTATGTCTTTTTCAAACTAATGCATCGTGCTAATTATTTTCCCATCCAGATAGGAAGGGAGGTTATATCATTTTCTATTCTTTATCTTGTTTTGACAATTGGTCTTTTATAGATTTTTATATGTCCCAATAACTATAGCTATACGAAATCTAAATTATATAACCAGTAAAGTATGTATGAAATATTTCCAGTTGAAATGCAAATAAAATGAAGCCATGTGTTACAATTTAGTCTGAACCCTTAAAGCATAGTTCTTGAATTTACATTTAGATTTATTATAACTTATAAGTTTTGTAAGCAAGTTTTAATGAAATGGATTAAAATGGTCTATATAAAGTCTAATATTTGAAGTTTTTCATGATAACATGCAACCACTGAACCTGCTTTCTAGGCTTACCAGATGCGCCCATCCATTATTTTCTTTGATGAAATTGATGGTCTGGCTCCAGTACGATCAAGCAGGCAAGATCAAATTCACAGGTAAAAATTTGCTTGATGACACTTCTGCCTTTTTCCCTGTATTGGTATTATATGAGCAATATAATGGTTAAATGTTGCAGGACCCTTCAGTCTGCAGGCTTTTATCTATTCACTGAGCCAAACCAGCTAGGGCTACGAGCTCATTTTAAAAGAAGTTCTAAAGCCGAAACCGGTTTGGCTCAGTGGTGGAGCGTTGGTCTGCGGACTGAGGGGTCCCGGGTTCGATTCCGGTCAGGGGCATGTAAATTGGTTGCGGGCACATCCCCAGTGGGGGGTGTGCAGGAGGCAGCTGGTCGATGTTTCTCTCTCATCGATGTTTCTAGCTCTCTGTCCCTCTCTCTTCCTCTCTGTGAAAAATCAATAAAATATATTAAAAAAAAATTTTTTTTTTTAAAAATAAATAAAAAAAATAAAAGAAGTTCTAAAAAACTGAAAACGAACTGGGTCTTGAGGCAGTGGCACTAAGGAAAAGTATTCCCTTAAGTAAACAGTTTATCACAAGGGATATTCAATTTTCCCATCCTGAAAATGAGGAAATTGTGCTAGTATTAGAATATTAAACTAGTAGTCATGCTAGGATATATTTTATTTGGCTCAGGCAGTATCTTAAAAGAATCTGAATTGGTTGGCAATATTTAAAAGATATTTACAAATTTGAATATAAAATTTAAGAAAGAGAAAACTTATTTTTCAAATCTGGGTCAGCTTCTGCACTTCAAGTGGTTGGAGATAAAAAGTGGTTATGCTCTTATGACTGAACACTCAGCCACATTCCACATCACAACCCCACACTTACCATTGGTTTGTCTCACTCATCTCATTTGCTTTATGCCTTACTTTAGTGGACAGTGTGCATTTAAGTTTGTAACCAAGATTTAAAAAGATGACATTACAAATAGTATTTTTTCCTTATCACCATTAAAAAGTCTTAATTTTAAACAGATTCTTGGACTGGCAGTTCATATCCGTTAGCTCATTTAACTTTCACACCTGTCTTATCCACAATAGCTTTTCCAGTACTACTACCTTCAAAGCTCTGAGTTTTCCCAATTTGAACTTGGGCTTCTTCAGCATTTGACTTTTCTAACAAAAACATTGTGAAGCAGATAAGTAGACTGGCAAGCCTTTTCTATGTCTTTTCCAATGCTATCTGGGATCAATGTATTGACCACTTCCTTTCCAGTAATTTGTCTGCACCTCTCGGGTCATGATTTCCATTATCTTCTCCTGGATCCTGTAGACCTATTGATGCCAAGCATAAGGTCTTCCAACTTTGGTAGTTGTATTTTTTTAGTAAAACCAGCGTAAAATAGATGAAGCAAAAAACCATTGCTAATCTTGATATCAACATGAGCTTCAATTACAGTCTGTCATTTTTTGACCATGGAGCACATTTTGTCACAGGTAAGATACATGCCATGGAAATTAGGCAGTTTTTGCCCTGAATGTCCTCAGTAACTAGCTTGAGTTTTATTTTTATTTTTGTTAATCCTCTGCAGAGGATATTTTTCCATTGATTTTTAGAGAGAGTGGGAGAGGAAGAGACAGAAACATCAATGTGGGAGACACATGAATTGGTTGCCTTCTTTGACTTGATGCTATACAATTTCATTTGTTGCTCTGAGTAGTAAATGAAAATGTCAAGTACTATGGTAAAGAGTTCTCTGTATATATCCTACCAGTAATCATACATTGTTTTATATATGACTTTTTATATGTAGAATAAACTTAACAAGAAATTTGATGTACAAATAATTATATTGATACATTAGAAAATAAAATTTCAGCCTAAGAAAAAGTGGATATAAATATAAAGTAAGTTCAATTAAAATCTTTACTGTGAATTAAAAATATCATTATATAAATATCAATGATATAAATATATAAAAATATATATTTTTAATTTTTTATTTATTTGATTTTATTTTTAAGAAAAGCAAACAAGAATTTCTTGACCATAGCAAAAGGTCCCTTAGAGATTAGGGGAAATGTTGGGGGAAGGAGAAGGGAGAGGGAATGGCCAAACACGCCCCCTGAAGGGAGAAAGCACAATTTTTAAAAATTACATTTTTCTTGATTTTAGAGAGGGAGAGATAGAAGCGTCAATGATGAGAGAGAATCACTGACCAGCTGCCTCCTGCATGCTCCCTACTGGGGATTGAGCCTGCAACCCAGGGCATGTACCCTAACCTAGTTCATAGGTCAATGCTTAACCATTGAGTAATACCAGCCAGGCTGATATGTGATATTTTGCTGCCTACATTTTCTCCTAGGATTTTTATAGTTTCACAACTTATATTTAAATATTTTATCTAGTTTATTCTTGTGTGTGGTGTAAGTTGGTGGTCTAGTTTCATTTTTTGTATGTACCTGTCCAGTTATCCCAACACCATTTATTGAGGAGACTATCTTTACTCCATTTTATATTCTTGCCTCCTTTGTCAAATATTAATTGAGCATAATGGCTTGGGTCAATTTCTGGGTTCTCTGTTCTGTTTCATTGATCTATATGCCTGTTCTTGTGCAAGTATCAGACTGTTTTGATTATAGTGGCTTTGTAATATAGTTGATATCTGGTATTGTGATCCCTCCAACTTTGTTCTTCTTTCTCAAGATTGCTGCAGCTATCAGACTCCTTTTTGGTTCCATATAAATTTTTAGAGTATTTGTTCTAGATCTGAAATATGCCATTGGTATTTTAATAGGGACTGCACTGAATCTATAGATTGTTTTGAGTAGTATGGACATGTTAATTATGTTAATTCTACCAACCCATGAACACAGTATATTCTTCCATTTGTTTATATCTTCTTTTATCTCTTTTTTCAGTGTTCTATAGTTTTCTAAGTATAAGTCTTTTACCTCCTTGGTTATGTTTTAAATATATATATCATTATGATTTCATGATGAGTTTTGTTTTGTTTTGTTTTGTTTTTTGTAAAACTAAATCTTTATTGTTGAAAGTCTTTTTTTTTTTTAATCAATATTTATTGTTCATATTATTACAAAGGTTCCTCATTTCTTCCCCCCTCCACCAGGTTCCCACCCCACCCTCCGCCCCCTCCCCACTCCCCATTTTCCTCATCCTTAGGTGCACAGTTTATGTTCAGTCTCTTCCTCCCTCCCTTCCCCCCCCCCCCCAAACAGTCAGTCCAATCCCCTCCCATATCGCTGACTCTACTACAATGAACCGCTATTATTGTTCATCAGGTTTTTCAATCTCCTTTTTTTGTTTTTGTTTTTTAATTAATACACTTTTATACTTCTAAGAATAAATTTTAAAATCTAATAATTTTAAACCTTGTTTTTTTTCTGCCCTGGGAATTGAGAGCAAACTTGTTTACATGTAAACTTGCCCTTAGGCTATCAAAAGGTGTAGCCATTCAAGTGTAAATGGACACATTGTTTAAACATATCTGCTGGTTGGAATTGGATTACCTGTTCTGGGTGGGAAGGGCTTGTCATTCCCTTTCTCCATTAAAATTAAGGTGTTAGCTTTAAAACCTCTTTTTGGCTAGAAACCTTAAACTTTCAGAACTTTAAATTTTTTAGATAGTAAATCAGTTACTTAGCATTTTCTCAAATCAATAATACCTCCACATGTCAAGGATACATTTCACACAGAAGACATTTCCAAATAGATCAACCAACCTCATCCAGGCCCCACACAAGGCACTCACAGATCAACACCCCAGCGCTATACTAACTCAACACATCCAGATCTAAGCCTTCATCACTTGATTCAGCAGACCCTCAAGTTCCCCCAAAAGTTTCCAGCCATGTCTGAGAGGCAGCCTTGGGGCGGAGGCAGGCGAGGAGCGAGCTGTTCCTGGCCTGGCTGCTCCCGGCCTGGCCTCTGTTGCTCTGGTCCGTTCCACAACCAGCTGCTCCGGGTCTGGCCATTGCCGCTCCCGACCTGGCTGCTCCGTGCGTGGCTGCTGCTGCTCCGGGCCTGACTGCTCCCAACCCGGCTGCTCTGGGCCACTCCGGGCCCGGCCGCTCCCGACCTGGCTGCTCCAAGCATGGTTGCTGCTGCTCTGGGCCTGACTGCTCCCGACCCGGCTGCTCTGGGCCCTACTGCCCTGGGCCCGGCCACTCCGAGCCTGGCAGCTCCCAGCCTGGATGCTCCGGGCTTGGCTGCTGCTGTTCTGGGCCTGGCTGCTCCTGACCCGGCTGCTCTGGGCCCGGCTTCTCCGGGCCTGGCCGCTCCAGGCCTGGGAGTTCCTAGACTGGCCACCCTGGGCTTGGCTGCCTCCGCCTCAGGCCTGGCTGCCACTGCCCCAGATCTGGCTGCTCCAGGCCTGGCTGTTGCTGCTCTGGTTCTGGCTGCTGCTGCTCTGGGGCCTGGCTGTTGCTACTCCAGGTCTGGCTGCCACTGCCTTGTGCCTGGCCACTCTAGGCCTGGCCGCCGCCATTCCAACATTCTGTCCTTTTTTTTTTTTTTTTTTTTTTTTTTTTTAACGCATTTATGTTGCAATGTTGGCTGCTGAGTTGAGTTCTGACTTAGTCTTCAATTTTTCAAGATCTTCTTTGTATTCTTAAGTAATTTTACTATCTTTTGCTCTCACTTGATTTCTTCACATTGAAAACTTCTTCGGTTTCTTCCTCCTTGTCCTGGAAGCTCAGCAGGTTGGCCTGTGGCACCCCTTTGTTCTCCGCGGGCTCCTGCGCTGCTTCAGCCCGTTGCCGGGGTTGGCGCCGCCCAGGAAGCAGCTTCCGGCCTCGGCTCCGTGGCCCGCGCTCAGCGGTTGAAGGCCCAGGGGCACCCCCGCCTTGGGGCCCTGTCGCCCAGCTCCTTGCTGGCGCCTAGCTGGCCGGTGTCCGGCAGGGGCTCCTGCTCCTCGTCGCGTTCCTCCAGTCTGGAGCTTTTTTTCTCCTTCCTGCTAGGGGCGTCTAACATCAGAGTCAACAGATTCCTCTGCGCAATGTGCGCGACACTGGGGGCTCGGCCTTTCGCCACTCTCCCAGGACTCCACCTCACAGCCCCGTCTCCCTCTGCTTGAGCCTGGGTCCCCAGGGATTGGCCTAGAACTGGGGTTCAGAGCAGTCGGGACTGAGGCTCAGCACCGCCGGAAGTTTTGTTTCTTCTCACCAGGGCAATCCAGCATCAGAGTCAACATTCAGTCCTCTGCGCACAATGTGCGAGACTCCAGAGGCTCTGCTTTTCACCGCTCCCCTGGGATTCTGCCTCACAGCCCCGTCTCCCCCTGCCCGAGCCTAGGTACCCAGGGTCTGGACCATAACTGGGGCTCAACGCTGCCGGTTCTGGGGTTCAGCCCAGGCCAGGGCTTTTATTTCCTTCCTGCTAGGGAACGCCAGGCAGGCACCCAGCCTTCTCCTTTCCGGCTGCGTCCTCTCCGTGCATGCATGCGTGCGCGCAGCATGTCTCCGTACCTTAGGCTTTTTCAGCTCCTTTGATTTTCCTTCTGATTTTCTCTTTCCTTCTTGTAGAATTTTCAGTCAGTCAATTACCTGTAGCTCTGGGCAATGTCCACTCTACATTTTAGTTGTATTCCATTGAAATTGTTGTGTGCTGCTGCGGTTAGGTGTCTACCTGAGCAGCCATCTTGGATCCTCTCCCATGATTAGTTTTTTTTAAAGAAAAAAATAATTACTTGCTCTGGACACTAAAAGGGTCTAGAAGCAATCACAATCCAGTAGCAATTGTACCCCTAGCACACAGATTATGGGCTCTAAATACTAGCACTATTAGGAGAGATGATAGATTGCAGAGTTGAGGCAGGAAATAAGACAAGCCTGCACATCTCATCATGCCTGGAAGCAAGGAAACAATCGAAGACTATTAGGTTCATATCAGAATGAAATAGGAGTAAATTTTGAAGGAGTTTTCACCGGACAAAGATGAGACGATTTGAACATCAAAAATAATAATGACTGCAATAGATTGAAATGCATCAAGCACATTAAAAAGTCGTTATATAATGATCTTTCTTAAAAAGCCTAATTGGGTTTTCTGAGGTTGCTAAGACAGTGACTCATTACTCTGAAAATTGGATAAAGAAAATGAATCAGGCATTTCTTTTTCCTGTTCTATAACTATGATTCAGGCCATGAATCAGGATAATTTCATAATAGATCAATTAATCTTCTTTATAGGAAAATCACCGTTAATAAAAGCAAAGGAAATTACTGAGTTAATTTTTAGAAAAATCAGCATTTTGCAGCCCTTTATGAAAAAGTGAGTCTCTTCCTGTAGTTTTCATCTGGAGGTGACTCTGTCCCCCAGAGGACAAATGTCTGCAGATAGTTTTGACTTTCACACTTGTGGTATGGAGTGGGGAGGGGAGCCGGTGCTATCTAGTAGGTGAAGACCAGGAATGCAGTTGCATCCTAGAATGCACAGGACAGCTTCCCACCACAGAGAATTCTTTGACCCAAAATGACAGTTGTGCCAATATTGAGAAATACTGATCTAAGCAGTAAGTAATTACCAGTGGCTGCTAAACAGTAAAGTATAAAGGTTCATAGTGAAATTTATAATGAGTAGAGTAAGCTGACAATACCTCTCTTAAAAACTCAACCCACTGACCTTAAGTGAGAAACTAGTATTGTGTATACCCCTTGAGGTATACAGTTGGAAACACATGGTATATTCCTATGAAATGTGCTATTCCAAGTAAATGTGCTATTCCTGCATCTGTTAAGCTTCCAGATCTAACTACAAGTTTGTAGGATACATAAATGATAAAAGACAAGTTATGTTGACCCCATCAGGAAGCTATCAACCCAGTTCACAATGTGGGGAAAATATTCTTTAAGACAAATGACCCAGTTTCTTTAACAAATAAATGGCATGGAGGAAGGGGGAAAAAAGGGAGGGAATGTGATGGGAACTGGTATGGATTTGAGGGTTGTATGGCCAAGTGCAGAATATGGATCTTGATTGAATAAATTAATAAATCGTGGGTGATTTGGTACTAGTATTAGATCATATTAAGGAATTACTATTATTTACATTGATGTCATAGTATCATGGGAGTGTTTAAAGTCCTTATCTTAGAAATGCATACATGATATATTTATATTAAATTATCTGCCTTAGGTTTTGATTTTTAAAGCTATCAGGTAAAGATATAGAAAAGAAATATTGTTGGTTGAAACTAGGTGATAAAGATGTGGAAATTATTTTACTTCTCTCCACAATAAAATATTTAAAGTAATTAAAATTCTATGCTCTATTTATATTCTATTTTATGCTTTATATGTATTCTATTTTATTTTGAGGTTCTTTGATAATCTATATGCAATGGAACATTTTACAATTTTAGATACTGTTTATCTGTGTGGTACTTACTAGTATTTTTTTATGTTTTGTTTGCGAATTTGAAAAATGATGTTTTATGAAATGGCTTTCAGGATCCATTCTAAAAACCATCTATGTTTTCTATTTATTTTAATCTGTACATGTTTTTTAGTATACTGTTTTACAGATATTTTAAAAATCTATTGAAAATAGTGGGATACTTTTTTTTTAAGTATTTTCTTTTATTATTATTTTTTAAATTTTATTGATTTGTTTATAGAGAGGAAGAGAGAGGGATAGAGAGCTAGAAACATCTATGAGAGAGAAACATTGATCAGCTGCCTCTTGCACACACCCCACTGGGGATGTGCCCGCAACCATAGTACATGCCCTTGACTGGAATTGAACCTGGGACCTTTCAGTCCGCAGGCTGACACTCTATCCGCTGAGCCAAACCGGTTTCGGCTGGCATAATCTTAAAAAAATTCATTCATGCTTAATGCATTAACCTCTTACCAAAAGAAGTGATATATTCCACATCCAATCGATTAATCTCTTCTCTCTTATTTTTAAATTTAGTTCAATTGTTTCCACCCTGCTAGCTCTTATGGATGGATTGGACAGCAGAGGAGAAATTGTGGTCATTGGTGCTACCAACAGATTGGATTCTATTGATCCTGCTTTACGAAGGCCTGGTCGCTTTGACAGAGAATTTCTTTTCAGCTTACCTGATAAAGATGTAAGAATTTAAGTAACATCACTCAAATTTTGACAAAATATGTCACCCTTATCATGAACAAGTCTTGGTACAATGAAAATTTGAAGGTTGAGTTTTGTATGTTTTGAAGCAAAGTTCTATGATTAACATCCAATAATGTATGTATTTTTTAGGGAATATTACTCTTTTTAAAGAAAATAAGTCAAAAAAATTTTTTTTTAAACAATGCTTCCTTTAAAAATACTCTTAAAATTCTTTGTCTCTCTTTTTTTAAAATATATTTTATTGATTTTTTACAGAGAGGAAGAGAGAGGGATAGAGAGTTAGAAACATCGATGAGAGAGAATCATCGATCAGCTACCTCTTGCAAACCCAACACTGGGGGATATGCCCGCAACCAAGGTACATGCCCTTGACCGGAATCGAACCTGGGACCTTTCAGTCCGCAAGTCGATGCTCTACCACTTAGCCAAACCGGTTTTGGCTTAAAATTCTTTCAATTTGAACACAGCCTTTGAATTTAATCATACAACTTTGCTTTGCTTCAGAACATATGGCCAAATAGACAGTCAACCCTTAGCCAATGTATTAGCCTTGGCTTTTTCATGGGTACCTCCATGTTATTTTAAAACCACTTAATCTTGCCCTAATAGATTTGACTCAGTGGATGGAGCATTGACCTGTGGACTGAAAGGTCCTGGTTCGATTCCGGTCAAAGGCATGTATGTACCTTGGTTGCGGGCACATCACCAGTGGGATGTGTGCAGGAGGCAACTGATCGATGTTTCTCTCTCATCGATGTTTCTGGCTCTCTATACCTCTCCCTTCCTCTCTGTAAAAAATCAATAAAATATATATAAAAAACAATAACACTTAATCTTTTGAAAACCAAGCAGAAAATATGGCAGAGCTGTCAGCACTCTTATATGTGTGTGTGTGTGTGTGTGTGTGTGTGTGTGTGTGTATGTGTATATATATATATGTATATAGATCTCTCTCCTGGGGATCTAGCCTGCAACCGGGCATGTGCTCTGACCAGGAATCAAACCATGACCTCCTGGTTCCTAGGTCAATGCTCAACCACTGAGCCATGTTGGCTGGGCTAATAGTTCTTAATATGTACCAGAATGAACAATAGTTCATTAGTTACTTTCTCTCATACACTTTTATATGAATGGAACTTGAGTGCTATAAATGTATATGTATTTAATATAAAGTTCTTAAACTTGCAAATACTATTTCCTTTTTTTTTTTTTTTTTACTATTTCATATTTTTGGTTAGGTTTTAGATGCCTGGTATACAAAATTTGTGCATGGGGGGAGGGTCCCTCAGCCGGGCCTGCACCCTCTCCAATCCGGGACCCTTCGGGGGATGTCCGACTGCAATAAGACACTCCCTTGGCAATCCAGGATCTTTGGCTCCTAACTGCTCACCTGCCTGCCTGCCTAATTGCCTCTAACCACTCTGTCTACCTGCCTGATCGCCCCTAACCCCTCAGCCTGCCTAATTCATCACCCCTAACTGCTTCTGCCTCGGTCCCTTTTGAGGATATTTAGTCTATTTGGTCTAGAAGGATATTTAGTCTATTTGGTCTAATTAGCATATACTCTTTTATTAGTATAGAGTTTTAGATAATTAAAAATATTTTAAATTGAAATCATTCTAATCTGAATATAACTTACTTTATTATAGATGTTAAAAAATTGTTTTTATTTGTAGGCTCGAAAAGAAATTCTAAAGATACACACCAGGGATTGGAATCCTAAACCACTGGACATATTTCTAGAAGAACTAGCGGAAAACTGTGTTGGTAAGCATTGCTTTTAAGCATTAAAAGAAATACATGCATTTTAAAGAAATATAGTCTTACAATGTTAAAGAAATATAAACTTATATTTGTTTCTCATCTCTTCTGTTCCCTTCCTACAAAGTTCAGAATATGAAATAGAGATATTTGACAAATTAGCTGTTGGGGATTTTGAGAGCAAAGTAGATAATAGGTGTCTTTTGCTGTTTACAGTTTTCTAGTCATCCTGTTGAGCATTGTACATATATTTCAGGTGATTCTCACATCAGTCCTATAAAATAGGTAACATCCCCATTTTACAAATGTAGAAATGGCTGACAGAACATACATGATTCTCCAAAGAGCACACATCTAGAAAATGACAAACTGGAATTTGAAACTTGTCTGTGATCTTAAAACGGTTGCTATTGACCTCTGTGCTATATTAGTACTTGCCTATTTCACTCACAAAAGTTGATTTGTTGATGGTTAGCACCACCATATTAGCCTTCTTACTCCTAAATATTTTGCTACTGTGTTATTAGGTTGATTTTTCATTTTAACCATCATCATGCTAATAGGATAGTAGTTTACTATTCCTTTTTTCCCCCTCCTTTTTTTTTGCCTTGGGTAGGATACTGTGGTGCAGATATTAAGTCAATATGCTCTGAGGCTGCTTTATGTGCTCTGCGTCGACGCTACCCACAGATCTATAACACTAGTGAGAAACTGCAGTTGGACCTCTCTTCAATTACTATCTCAGCTAAAGATTTTGAGGTAGCTATGCAAAAGATGATACCAGCCTCCCAAAGAGCAGTGACATCACCTGGGCAGGCACTGTCCACCATTGTGAAACCTCTCCTGCAAAGTACTGTTCACAGGATCTTAGAAGCCCTTCAGAGAGTATTTCCACATGCGGAAATCAGAACAAATAAAGCACTGGACTCCGGTATGAAATTTGATTGGTTATTTAAAGTTCATTTTCATAATCATAAAGCTATATGTTTTATACATCTCAGAAATGTTTCTTTATACACAACATCTTAAAAGAAACTTGGTCATGCTTTGCTTGGATATTTTAAGTTTGGATTGCATTTTTATATTTACAGCAGTTCTTCAAATAACATTGATTCATTTAACATCGTTTTATTATAACAATGATGAGATGCTGTAGTAACTTAACTCTAGTTTATATCAATTAGCTTATGGTAAAATTGTTTCTTATACATAATTTTGCTTAAAGTCATAGAACCTATTGACTGTTAAATAAGGACTTAACTGTACTTGTTATTCATATTTACACAATATATTTGATTTTTTTTAAATGTCATTGATGTACACTGATTGCTAACTGAAGCACTGCATTAAAATTTGCTTTGCAATCCAGAAAAGTTACTAATGTACAGTTTTTTGTTTGTTTATAGATATTTCTTGTCCTCTGCTAGAAAGTGACTTGGCATACAGTGATGATGATGTTCCATCAGTATGTGAAAATGGGCTTCCTCAAAATTCTCTTAATAAAGCAAAAGAAAATTTTAATTTTCTTCATTTGAATAGGTACTTTTCCCTTGCAAATGAATTGTGTGTGTGTATTTGTGTGTAAATTCCCTAAAACTAAATGAGATAGTTGTTGAAAAATAAAAAAATGCCAACTATTCTTTCTTTTTTTAAATTAAAATATAAAAAAAAAATTGTTCTTGCTGTTGTCACTATAGTAGAAATGCCACTACATATGTATTCTTTTTAAAAACACATATATATTTATATTGATTTAAGAGAAGGAGGGAGAGGGAGAGACAGAAACATCATTGAGAGAGATCATTGAGCTGCCTCCTGCACCTCCCCCCACTTTCCTCACCTCACTGGGTATTTAGCCTGCAACCTGGGTGTGTGCCATGACCAGGAACCAAACCGTGACCTGATTCATAGGTAGACGATCAGCCATGAAGACATACTGGCCAGGCTGTTATTCTTAAAAATCTGTGGAAGTTATTTCCAAATCCATGTGAGTCATGCTGATATGATTGTCCAATGAAATATTAAAAAGTTTTGACTATATAAGTCCATAGTTGGTAGTTTGGGAGGAAAATTTAAACTTTATATTTTTCTAAAACATAACTTATTACTCATTTCTTTTAGAAATGCTTGTTATCAACCTATGTCTTTTCGACCAAGAATATTGATAGTGGGAGAACCAGGATTTGGGCAAGGTTCTCATTTGGCGCCAGCTGTCATCCATGCTTTGGAAAAATTTGCAGTGTATACATTAGACATTCCTGTTCTTTTTGGAATCAGTGCTACATCTCCTGAAGAAACATGTGCCCAGGTAATTCATTGTTGCCTAGATAAGCTGTAGGTAAAGGAAACTTCCAGAGACAAATATAGAATTGCCTCATTTTTTTTCTTTTTGGTACTTTCTTTGCTTACTGATATGTAACTAGGTTTTAAAAAATATATAAAACTAAGGCATAAATTTCTTGATTAAAGAGTCTGGGTTTAAATACCATTTTCACCACTTAATATCTAAGTGACCTTAAAAGAGTTGTTAGATCTCTTTGCCTCATTTTCCTCATTTACAAAATGCAGATAATAGTGTTTATCTTATATGGCTGTTGTGAGAAGTGTACTTGAAAGAGTGACTGCTATGTTGTAAGTACTCAGATATTCTGCTTCTGTTTTTGTTATTTATTTAAAAATTTTTAATGAAAAGCTGTTTTATACTTATTTTTATATTTAACCTAGGTTACAGCAGAAAAGTCTTCTATATTTCTTGAATTGTTTTCTAACTGCTTTAAACAGTTATGTTTTCTAACAATGAGACAAAACGTTTATAAACAGGATTGAGGGGGAAGCATTTTAGTTATTTATTTAGTGAGGGTTTTCTGTTTTATTTTTTCCTTATCACCCTTTGCCCCCTTCCACCCACTCGCCTATTTAAAAAATTTGATGGATTTATATGATAATTTTGGGAAGTTAAACATTGTTCCAGACTAATAAAGTTAGCATTACTGATGTGCTGACTCTAACTGAATGTAAATCTTTTTCTCTCTACTAGATGATTCGAGAAGCTAAGAGAACAGCACCGAGTATAGTGTATATTCCTCATATCCACTTGTGGTGGGAAATAGTTGGACCAACACTCAAAGCCACGTTTACCACATTATTACAGAATATTCCTTCATTTGCTCCAGTTTTACTACTTGCAACTTCTGACAAACCCCATTCTTCTTTACCAGAAGAGGTAATTTGTATGGGGAAATTTATTATACTTAAAAAGAAAGTTATTTTTATTAAAATATAAAAATTCCAAATGCTTCAGAATGAATAAAATGATAAAAGCTTTCTTATCAAAGATAACATTGTTAACTATTTGGTATAAGTGCTTGTTAGGTACGTTGATGTATGTGTATATATATGATGCATACAATTCTGCAATTTGCTTTATATATTTTATGTAATCTTCAGGATATGCCTTATTTCTTTTAAGAGTAACATAGCTTTTCCCATTGTCTTCATGTACCATAATTTATTTATCCAAATCCTTGTGCATATGTATTTGGTTGTTTTCTAGGGTTCTTTTCTATTAAACTGCTATAGTGAACATTCTTGAGTTTTATTTATATATTTATTTTGCATCCTTGGGTTTTAATTTGCATAAGCATTACTATGTGGTTTCTAGCATTATTTTCTAAAAGTGAAATTACTAGCTTAAAGAGTATGCACATTGAACACTTTTTTAAATCCTCCCCTGAGGATATGTTTCTATTGATTTTAGAGAGGAAGGGAGAGACAGAAAAACATCGATCAGCTACCTCCTGTATGTGCCCCAGCAGGGAATTGAATCTGTGTCCCTTTGGTGCATGGTACGATGCTTCAATCAATTGAGCCACACTAGCCAGGGCAATTGAGCATTTTTGATAGTACCAAATTACTATCCAAGCTTATGCCTATTTATTCATTATTTTAATTCTTACCTGAAGATTTTTTTTTCCAGGGGGAGTGAGGGAGCAACACATTGATTGGTTGCTTCCATACAGAGAGAGAGAGAGAGAGAGATGTGAGAGACACACATCGATTGATTGCTTCCATACACCCCCAGCTGGGGTTGGGGATGGAACCTGCAACCCAGTTACATGTTCTTTACTGAGAATTGAACCCATAAGCCTTCAGTGTGGGGGCATATGCTCTAACCATTGAGAAGACAAGCCAGGATTGTTTTATTCTTATTGAAGCACCTCTCGTATTTCACTTTGACTGTGAAAGTGAATTGACTAAAAAACAAACAAACAAACAAAAACACTTTAAGTAAAATATTACCATGTCAGTTACCAGAGTCTAGTTTTAAATATCCTTTTTTTTTTTAAGATATTTCTATTTAAAAAAAATTTTTAAATATATTTTATTGATTTTTTTACAGAGAGGAAGGGAGAGAGATAGAGAGCTAGAAACATCAATGAGAGAGAGACATTGACCAACTGCCTCCTGCACACCCCTACCAGGGATGTGCCCCCAACCAATGTACATGCCCTTGACCGGAATCGAACCTGGGACCTTTCAGTCCACAGACCGACGCTCTATCCACTGTACCAAACCAGTTTCGGCGATCCTATTTTTTAAATTCTTAAATCGGTTATAGGCCTGGTTTATTCATAAATTCAGTATATATAAAAGATTTCTTTTAAAAAATTATTTCTCGCGGAAACCGGTTTGGCTCAGTGGATAGAGCGTCGGCCTGCGCACTGAAGGGTCCCAGGTTCGATTCCTATCGAGGGCATGTACCTTGGTTGCGGACACATCCCCGGTGGGGATGATGCAGGAGGCAGCTGATTGATGATTCTCTCATCAATGTTTCTAACTTTCTATCCCTCTCTCTTCCTTCTGTAAAAAATCAATAAAATATATTTTAAAAAATTATTTCTTTATTAAACAACTTAGATTGTCATTAAAATTGTGTATAATCTATTGTTGCATTTATTTTTATTTTTTTAAGGTGCAAGAATTATTTATCCATGATTATGGAGAAATTTTCAATGTTCAGTTACCTGGTAAAGAAGAACGGACAAAATTTTTTGAGGATTTAATTCTAAAACAAGCTGCTAAGCCTCCTATATCAAAAAAGAAAGCAGGTTAGTTCCTATATCAAAGTTAGTGTGTAATGACTTTGAGGAAGAATAAAACATTAGTTAATGTCCTTGCCATCTTATATTATTACAAGCTTAAAACCTCAGGCATGAGGTTGCTACCTCTGCTGCTTAAAAATCTGTTTTCCATTAAAATAGACTAAGGTTCCTAAAGCCCACACAACCTTTCAAGCACAGCTTCTATCTGTGTGTACTTTGGGCTTGAATTCCTAGTACAGCCCAAATCTGTCTTTCTAAGCCCGTTTTTGGTACTTTTGTTACCTCCCTCCCTCACCTCTTTCCTTACAAAGCATTCTGTCTTTTAAACCATGCACAACATATTTCTGCCTTTTCATAAGTTCATTTATGCTTGCTCTCTGTCAATAATGCTTCTATTCTCACCCCCATTTCTGCCTAAGGAACTCTTTGTTCTTCTAGTATAACTCATATTTTCTTCCTTAACATATGTAGGCAAAATTAATTTATTCTTTCTTACTACTAATATGACATTACATTGATGTAATTATGTCTCTTACTCCCTTAATAATAGATTGATAACTTATTGCAACAATACTCTCATATTTCTTTTTTTGTCCTGAGTACTTGGTACTCTTTAAACAAAATTAACTTCTTTTTATTTTAAATATACCGCAGTTTTTCATTAGTTCAAAAATTAATTAGTAAAAAATACATTTTAATAGAATATTTTTGTCCTAGAAATAATGCATTTTCAAAGTTGTAATTGCCTGTTAAATTATCTAAAAATGGACAGTGGATTGGAAATTAGCATTCCAAATTACATGTTACCAGTTATTGTTGGGGGAATATATTCCATGTTAGTATTCCAAATCCTCTGATTCCTGGCATATGTAAGGAGGATAGCCCTGAAAGCCTGATACTGTGTGCTCTGAATGATTTATTGATATGCTGGGAGAGTAGTAACTAAAACCTTCCATTTATGTGAAGTTTTGCAGGCCTTGGAGGTACTCCCAGTAGCACCACCACCTGAGCCAAGACCATTGACAGCAGAAGAATTGAAACAACTAGAAGAACAAGAAGAAAATACATTTAGAGAACTGAGGATTTTCTTAAGAAATGTTACACATAGGCTTGCTATTGATAAGCGATTCAGAATATTTACTAAACCTGTTGACCCTGATGAGGTATTAATTTAATCTTAGAAACAGTTTTTTAAACTATAATGCTTCTAAAGTAGAGATTATTTAAATAGTTCATATGGTTCTCTGCCTACACTCTGAACTTGTTTTCTCTATATGAAAACCTACCAGGAATGTCTTAAGCACATAGAAACCTCAAGAACTATTGAACACATTTTCCTTTCCTACAGAGAATAGACAACTAAATTTGTCTGCTCAACCCAAACATTCTAGAAGCAATCTGTGAATGTCTTAATGCTACATGATCTTTTTCTTATATACACAGAGTGAGTTGGAGAGCAAGCTTTTGCATTTTCATTGAAGGATGGGTGGCGTTTGGTTGAGGAAAGAGATATAGGCTATTACTGGAGAGATAGTTGCTCAAGACTAAGAATAAATACAAAATAAAACCAACCTTAAAGAGTCAGAGGTTTCATATTAATATATTATCATTATCTCTTATGTATTCATTCTTCCTCTCGTATTGCTTGACAAAGAAACTTTACTCAAATGTATTTTTGTTCAGAATTAATTTAAGTAACTTGGTCATTTGCTTGAATTTTAGGTTCCTGATTATGTTACTGTAATAAAGCAACCAATGGACCTTTCATCTGTAATCAGTAAAATTGATCTCCACAAGTATCTGACTGTGAAAGACTATTTGAGTGATATTGATCTGATCTGTAGTAATGCTTTAGAATACAATCCAGATAGAGATCCTGGAGGTAAGCATTAGTGGAATGGGGGCTACTAACTAACTTCAAGGGTTGATTTTATGCCAGGTGCTATATTATAAACACTTTACATTCATAGTGCCACTTATCCTTATACCAGCCTTACCCCTTACATTACAACGAAGGAAAATGAAGTTTTGCAAGGTTAAAGAATTTATTCAAGGTTATACTGCCAGGTAGTGGCAGAGGCAGAATTTGAATGCAATTTTCTTTCACTCCAAAATCCTTGTGTTTATTACATAATATATTCTCTAATAAGACTCAATATTGCATAACAACTTAGCTTGTTTCCATTGTATGTTAATATTCTTTCTCACATTGGAAAAATAAACACTGTAATCAAATAGGTTTGAAATAATTTTCTTGGTTATGACCATTATAATTTTTATTACAAAAGTAATACAATATTTTAAAAACTAAGTCTTCTATTTCTTTTCTTCAAAGGTGGACACTTAAGTTTGAGGATATCTTTTCAATGCATGTACCCATTCTCCCCTTACCCAATCTATTAAAAACTTTATAAAGTACAGTGTTTTTAAAAATTACATATTTCTTTATATACATCAGAAGTGGGGAACCTTTTTTCTGCCTATGGCCATTTGTATATTTACAACATCATTTAATATAATTCACTTAGTATAAGTTTATGTTCCTTTGAAAAAACCTCCTAGATTTACTGAATTTTGAGTCCCACATGGGGTTGCCTTGGCAGGACCAGACCAAAGGATTTCGAGGGCCTTATATGGCCCACGGGCCAGACATTCCCCATCCCTGGCACACATAGTGATGCATTCAAATATCTAAATATTTGAGATAAACTTATTTCCAAAAATATTTTTTCTTCCGGTGCTTCTTTTTCTTTTTTAGCATCCTGTTCTTGTTTTATAGATGCAGTGTCTGTCCTTAACACTTTCATATAGTTTTAATAGTCTGTTTCCTACATTAGCTATCCTTTAGTACATTGGCTGCTACAGTTGTTTGTGCTTGTAAATAAGATTAATTAGCATAGGGGCCTACTGAGTTTCTTCAGCATTTGAGAAGCTCACTAGTCTTCTACTTCACTTTCCCTGGGCTTTTCCAAACTTCTGATGGTAAGCAGTGAAAACAGGCTACCAAACTGGGAATGCCCCTTAGCTAGAAGGAAGGAACATTTACTGTGAAAGCAGTTTTTTTTTTCTCTTTGGCTTCTCTTTCTGACCATGTGGCAGCCTAAAATTACTTTAGACCAGTGGTGTTCAAACTTTATGAAGTATCAATCTCCTAAAGAACTTGTTGAGATTAAGAGTTTCTGAATCTGTAGATAGAATAAAGGCCTGAGAATTTGCATTCCTGGCAAGTTCCTCAGTGATCCTCATGCCCCCACACTTCTGAAACAAATACTCCAACTTTGCTCTGCTTTTCTTCAGGCCAAATGCCATGTTAGAAGCCCCCTCCTACATCCCTTCTGATATTGTAGCTATTGCTGTCATCTTCATCTTGGGTGTGAATATTGCAGCCATTGCCCTGTGAGAAGGACTGATAAAACCTATTCAATCAACCTTGTATTCACTCATTGTCTGCTTTCTGCCTCAGCATATTCCAGTTTACAGTAGTTAGACTCAGTTTAGGATTTCTTCCAGTGTTTCTTGTGTAGGTTTGCTCTTTCATTATCTTTGCTTAGTTTCTCTGTCAATGCAGTAACATGCTCTATATCTCTAGAATTACTTTACATTCTGTTCACTAGTAACTGATAGACTTCCTTTCTGTTTTTGTTTGTTTTGTCATTATATTTAATTTTGCTATTGATTGATACTTAGATTTTTTTTTTCTGATATTTCAAAAAGGTATGGATAGGACATAGCAATAAAATTTTTTGAATTTATTGCCATATTGAATTAGATGTCTAGGACACTAGATTGCACAAGAAAAGAATTACACAATTTTTGTAACTGTTACTATTCATGATAAAACTAAAAAAAAAAAAAAGAAAAAAAAAAGGAATTGTAATGGCTACAATCTTAACCTAAAATGTTAAGTTTATTTTTGGTAAGTTATTAAAAGGAGAAAATTTTAAATTCTTTATTCATTTTTCAGATCGTCTTATTAGGCACAGAGCATGTGCTTTAAGAGATACTGCCTATGCAATAATTAAAGAAGAACTTGATGAAGACTTTGAGCAGCTTTGTGAAGAAATTCAGGAATCTAGAAAGAAGAGAGGTAAAAAAAAAATGATTTGGCATTAGAAAAGGGTGCTTTTAATGAAGTGTGAGTGCTTTTAATTAATCCTTCAGGTAATTTTGAAATCTAGAAATTTAATTTGACGTTTTGTGTGTCTATTTATAAGGTTGTAGCTCCTCCAAATATGCTCCATCTTATTACCATGTGATGCCAAAGCAAAATTCCACTTCTGCTGGTGATAAAAGATTGGTTCCAGAGCAGAATGAAAAGCTCAAGATGCTCAATATTCCTGTGGCTTGCAGCACTCCTGGTAAGTGCACTTGGGTGATTTTTACTTATGAAATTGTAACCTTTATGCTCTTCCAATGCCATTTATTTTCTCCCTCAGTTTCCTTTATTTATGTTGATTTAGTGAATTATATTGGTTTGGTTAATACTGAGGCAGCTATGCATTCTTGAAATCCAGATTGTAACGGTATGCCACTTGCAGGCCCAATTCATCTTCATCTAATTGTGGATTGATTTGATTTGAAACTAATTTTCATTTCTTTAAAATCCTAGTCATTTCCTATTTCTTCTTTCTTTTAGGGTATACCTTTATAGGGTACCAACCCAAAGCCTGTGGATTTTCCAAAGACCTCCCTTCCTTGGCAGGCTCTTAATTCCATGTTTTGTTCTTTAAGCCCCATGAATGTGAAACTCTCAGCTCTTTATTCATTTTCCCAGATTTAGTTGTCTTAATTCCTTAATGCCTTATTAGACACCAGTGCTTTTATTTTTTTCTTTTTATTTTTTATATATATTTCTTTATTGATTTCAGAGAGGAAGTGAGAGGGGGAGAGAGAATCATTGATCGGCTGCCTCCTGCATGCCCTCCATTGAGGATTGAGCCCGCAACCCAGGCACGTGTCCTTGGCTGGAATCAAACCTGGAACCCTTCAGTTCGCAGGCCGACACTCTATCCACTGAGCCAAACCACCTAGGGCAACACCAATGCTTTTAAACAAATTTTTAAAAGTGTGTGTGTATTTTACTGGGGTTGGAATTTTCTCTTATTATATTGTATGTTTTTCCTTTCCGGGATAATTGATTTGAGATAGGTAAGGCCTACTTTTGTAAAAATGGAAAGAGATAGGAAGGAAAGGAAGTATGAGAAAGGCAAACCAGCAAGAAACCTCTACCAGAGGGTTCTCAGTCAAATGAACTGTAAAAGTAAGTATATATGTAGAAATTGAGGACATGGAAAATGACTTCCTTAAAACAATCCATTTCTAACTATATACCCAACAGGATTGCATGCATTATGTTACCAGAGACACATACAAGAATGTTCATAGAACCAATATTCAAAATAGCCCAACACTTGGACCAACCCAAATCTCCATCAACAATAGAATTGAAAATGAGGACTATTTTCAACAGTGAGGATGATTAAATTTCAACTACAGTTAACAGTATAGATGAATCTCCTAAGCATAATGTTACAGTATCGTTAAATATTGTGTCTGGTCTAATCTTTGTATACCTTAGTTTCATCATCTGTAAAATTATGTTGATAATGGTAACAAACTGATCAGGTTTAAGTGAAATTTCAGCATACATTAAGAACTTATAAGAGTTTCTGCTGTATGATAGGCATTTAAGTGTAAGCCATTTTTAATCTTGCCTTTTCTCTAGTTTATTCCTCAGATTACTGCCCAAATGTTCTTTGTAATACATGCAGCAGACAGATCATCCATTGCCCTCCTTAAAATTATTCAAGGTTTTACTTTATTATTTTTTTAATATATTTGTATTGATTTCAGAGAGGAAGTGAGAAGGAAAGAGAGATATAAACATCAGTGATGAGAAAGAATTATTGATCGCTGCCTTCTGCATGCCCATAATGGGGATGGAGCCCGAAATCTGGGCATTAACCAGGAATCGAACCGTGACCTCGTGGTTCATAGATTAATGCTCAACCACTGAACCATACCAGCTAGGCATTATTCAAGATTTTTTTAAATTATTTTTAAATATACTTTATTGATTTTTTACAGAGAGGAAGGGAGAGGGAAACATTGATCAGCTGCCTCCTGCACACCTCCTATTGGGGATGTGCCCGCAACCAAGGTACATGCCCTTGAACGGAATCGAACTTGGGACCTTTTAGTCTACAGGCCAACGCTCTATCCACCGAGAAAACCAGTTAGGAGTATTCAAGATTTTTAAAAAAAAATTATTCAAAGTAAAACTCAAACTCCTCAGAATCACAAGTCATTGCCCACTTCTCTGCCTTCTTGTAGTACTATATATTTGTTTCTATACAAACCATGCAAAACTATGGTGGTTTCTCAAACTTGCTTATCCTATTATATGTCAAGGTATTTTTCTCCCCCCATAGACTTTACAAAATTGTTGAGTGTTCTTTTATCCTTTTTCTTTTAATTCTCTGAAGCTCAGTTGAAGAGAAAGATCCGCAAAAAGTCGAAGTGGTACTTAGGCACCATCACAAAACGAAGAAAGATTTCACAGACAAAAGATGGCAGCCAAAATGTCACAGATGACAAAATTGAGAGTGATACAGAGGAAAATCACGATACAAGTGTAGACCACATCGAGACTGGAAACACAGGAGAGTCTTCAATGGAAGAAAATGAGATGCAGCAAAATGGCTCTGAAAGCAAAATAGATTTGGGAAATAACTCAAGTATCTGTAGCATTGAGAATGAACTTGAATCTGGGAAGGCTGCCACAAGTACAGAACTGAAGAAAGATAAGATTACTTGCAATGGAGATTCTTTAAGCTCTCAAATAATAAATGTTTCTAATGAAAGTGAAGCAAAAGGTAAGTCTCAAACAACTTCCTGGTTTTAAAAGATGTTTTACTCCGAGTTCTTAAGCAACTAATTACCATCTCAATTTAGCCTTTTGTCCTTGTCTTTTGTAGTGCAGGTGTTAATTCATTAGGAAAGATAGCAGTATTTTTAATATTTTTTATTAACTATGGATCTAATAAATTCACTGTTGCTAAAAGAATACTGTGGCATCTACTAGACCTGGATTTGAGCCCCTAGTCCATCCACTACTTGGTAGCTTGTGACTTTGGGCAAGGTTCTTGACTCAAAGTCTCAGTTTTCTCTTCTGCAGAATTGGGGCAGATAGCTGCTGGTAATGAGATATTTTGAGGATTGAGTAAAATCTAAAGCAAGAAGTGAAGGGATTTGGCTCTGCAATTTTTAAAAATATATATTTTATTGATTTTTTACAGAGAGGAAGGGAGAGAGATAGAGAGCTAGAAACGTCGATGAGAGAGAAACATCGACCAGCTGCCTCTTGCACATCCCCCACCGGAGATGTGTCCGCAACCTAGGTACATGCCCTTGACCAGAATCGAACCCGGGACCTTTCAGTCCGCAGACCGACGCTCTACCACTGAGCCAAACCTGTTTCGGCTCTGCAATTTTTTAAAAAGCTGGCAAAATAACCTAATTTTTAAGCAAGATAAGCCGTTTCTTGTGGTTCTTGCTGAGTGGTGTAGAACAACTGTAACCATCATTCCTCTATTTATATTGTAGGTTAAGTCCAAGATTATATTCTAATTCTGCTTCCAAAGTTTTTCATTGAGAATTGTCTTCATCTGGATGGATCATCTTGGATCTTTGGCAGTAGATTTGTTTGATTTTTGGAAAAGGCAAACATTATTTTGTCTTAAAGTAAAAAGAGCAGGAATAGGGTAAACATTTTCTTTTGGTCAATGACAAGTATTAAGTGAGTTAATGAGACTTTTTTTCCCCCAGTGGCTTATATGCTTTAGGTAAATCTTTTTCAAATACTTCCTTGAAATGAGTTCCAGTGTGTTTGAGTAATCATAGCAGAAGGGACTAGGATACAACCTTTCCAGTATAGATACTTTAAATGTTAATCTTCTGACTATATAATTTAGTATGTTTTCTTTTATTATTATCGTCTTTAAAAGGACACTATTTAGTGGGACATGTACTTGTTTACATATTAAGAGATTTGGGTTCTTATCTGGGATCTTATAACAGGTATGTTAACCTTAGAAGAGTCAGTTCACCTTTCTTGGCTTTGTTTTTTTAATCTATCAGTGAATAGATTGTCCTAGATTAAGGGATATGCAAACCTTTTTTGTATAGTGCCATACACGAAATATTTAGCCACACGGTATCTGTCACAACTACTTAAACCTGCCAGGAAAGCCACACTGACAAGCATATGTAAAATGGGAGTGGTTGTGTTCTAATAAAACTATTTATAATGCTAGGCCAGATTTTGTCTGTGGGTGGTCATTTGCAACTCCTATTCTCAATTACTGAGGTTCCTTCCAGCTCTTAAATTTTGTGAGTGTTATGCCTAAGTAGAAAATAGTTGAGGATCCCCCTAAAATACTCAATTTGAGAAATACTCAAATGTTCTTAATTTTTTTGTGTGTAAATGGGATCATTTTAATCTTACAGCAGAATCAGTATACCAGAATCGGTATTTGTGTCTTAATAAATATGTCCTGCAATTTAATCTAATATTTATTTACTTTAGGCATTATAATGTATATTTACCAAATAGTAATGTTATTTAATCACTCCTTCTAGAAAGGTGGATTCTGCAAATGACTCGAGCTAGACATTCCCAAATAGAGCAACAGCAGCTCATCAGTGCTGAAAAGGCTTTGGCAATTCTTTCACAGCCTACACCCTCACTTGTTGTGGACCATGAGCGATTAAAAGTATGTAAATTGAAATTGTAATGCTGTCATTATGTATATTAGTACACCAAAAGGGAACTGTAATAGTATTTTGTATCAATTCAGTATGTAATAAATAATGATCTTTTATGAAAGCATAAGTTTGGCATAGAATAACTTTTATAAATGTGGTGGTTGGAGGTGGCTAGTATATTGATATTACAGTTTTAACAGACTAGATTACATTACTTATTCCACAAATTGTTTTTATGACTGTTACCTATGACTATTTTAGTTAGTTTTTACTTAGCCATAATGGCATGTTTTTTGAGGTAGTGACATATCCTGCTATGGCCAGACTTGAAGAATCAGAAATCCAGTGACCATTTCAGTCATGAGAAAAAAACACTAAGCAAATGGAAAATCCTTTTTATAAGAAAAATAATTGTAAAGTGGTGAGGTAATTCATCATTTATGAAGTTCTTTCCCTTTTTATTTCACATAATGAAATTAGTTACTATATACTGATAGTGTAATAAAATATCCTGCAAAAATGGTGCTTTTCCCCCCTATTAATCTAGTTCATCTGTAGAGATTTATGACTAGAATTGAAATTGGCAACCTCCTCAGCTATAGTTTTTAGGATATAAGTTACCCAGGGCAGAGACTAGGATCAGAGAATGATGATAAAAGTTAACTACAACCAAATTACAGCGCCATCATCAGAGCTGCCATGTCACGTCAGGTGATGTGGTCTGTCCTCGCTCTGGTTTATATGCTAAAAATTTCCCCAGTGTTCTAAAGTAAAACATCTCAGAGGATTTTCTCTCACATGTACACACTTATATTTTATTTTAGAATCTTTTGAAGACTGTTGTTAAAAAGAGCGAGAAATACAATCTTTTTCAGTTGGAAAATTTATATGCAGTAATCAGCCAGTGTATATATCAGCATCGCAGGGACTATGACAAAACAACACTTATTCAGGTAAACTAATATACATAAGAAATTAACTTATTTTATAAAAATCTTTAAATACCATTATTTAATATATGCAAACAATGGAACTATAATATCAGCAAATTATGGGGAAACCGTTATTTTCTGTATGAATGAAGATATGTAGCTCCTTTTTAAGACATACCTATTTTTCTTGATCTTGCTTTGCAATGGGCATTAGAGTTCTAACTTTTAAAAATAGATACTAGAAAAGAGGAAATTAAAAAAAGATACTGGATGATACCTATATAGTATAATATAAATTTACTGATACCAAATATATACCTACTAGTATATGTAGTATTTAGTATACCTACTAAAATATACTGTGGTACCTACATGTTATCATATATGTGATACTATTGTAGTACCTATAAATAGGTACATCAGTGTCTTGATTATAACTATTTGAATTTAATATAAGATGATCACATCTCAGACTCATTTGAAAGGGATTTAAATAATGAAGTCCCATCAGTGATTTCAGTTTATATGATAGTCTTAAATACTGAACTAAATTTTTGTTTTCAATATCAGATATATGCATGGGTAATAAATTCTTAAGGGTATTTACTGGGGGGGGGGGGGGGAGCAATAGAATAATGTTTCTTTAGCTTTTCCACATTGAAACTTACTACTTTTCCTTTCTACCCTTTATCTAGAAAATGGAGCAAGAGGTAGAAAACTTCATTTGTTCCAGATCCTGATGTCATGGTATCACATATTCTTTATATTCTGTTTTTATTTAGTTCTCCTCTGTCATGTTCACATAACTGATGCAAGGTGAAATCTTGCATCGTTAAGAAAAATATTAAAATAGTAAATAAAAATATTTAAACTTTTAGTATCTGTATATGTGTAAGATAAATTACAAAGATAAAATACTGGGAATTGGATGGAACAAGGCACATAGTAATAGTAATGCTATGGCATATCAGTAGTTGAACTATGGACAACTCAATATAAAGATAGCTAATGTTTTATAGCATTGAAGAGTAATTAGTGACATTGATACTTTTTTGTTTTAAGCACTTTTAATTTTAACTGTCCTGCAGTAGTTTATTGCATCAGACTAGAAACTTAGCCATTGTATCTTTGCCATCTTTTGTTGTCTTCAGTATCCGTCTCTCATCTACTTTTAGCTTGCCCTGCTCATTCACATAAAAGCCAGTGTTCAACTGTTGAACAGCTTTTTAATAGCACAAAGTTTTTATATTTGAAAAATGTTTATATCCTTCTAAATTTGTGTTTAGGTTAATTCTATAGATATCTTTTATATGCAATTATATAAATATAATAAATTTTGTAATAGTGATATCAAAAATACATTTTTTTCTTAAAGGAATAAAACCATTCACCATGCACATTCTTTTTCTTTTCTTTCTTTTTTTTTTTTAGGAGCCATTCTAATATTTGTCAAATAGCTTCTGTTGGAAACTTTCTAAAGGAGTTAGGGGATAATGATCTCAAATGAGATATTCTGGATTCTAATAGTTTCCTTTCGTTGAGCTGCCTTTCGTTGATTTACCTGGATATTGTATTTAAAGCATTTAAAACCCCAGTAATTCAGATACCTTAATTAAAAGATAATCTCTTAGTAATGCATAAAGCAATGCCATTCACTATAAACATCTGAATATGTGCATATTTCTGGATTCATGCACATATACACATAACATTCTTATTTTTATTGAAATTTATTATAATTTATTCCAAATGCATCTTTTATAACTAGGATTTCATTTTGTATGTATAATTTCTGTAATAAATATTAAATGTAAAAATTGTTTCTCAAATTTGTTTCTATTCATCATTTTAAATTGTTCTAAAGATAATTCAGTGCAAAACAGGTACAAAATTTTGTTTCATGTTTCTAACTCTATCCCTCTCTCTTCCTCTCTGTAAAAAATCAATACAATATATATATTTTTTTTAAAGTACAGTCAGTCGCCGGGACCGGTTTGGCTCAATGGGTAGAGCGTCGGCTTGGGGACTGAAGGGCCCCGGGTTCGATTCCGGTCAAGGGCATGTACCTTGGTTGCGGGCATAGCCCCAGTGGGGGGTGTGCAAGAGGCAGCTGATCAATGACTCTCTCTCATTGATGTTTCGAACTCTATCTCTCTCCCTTCCACTCTGTACAAAAATCAATAAAATATATTAAAAAAATAAAAAAATAAAAGTACAGTCAGTCTATAGTAATTAGACAAGAAATAGAAATGAGATTTCCGAATGGGAAAAGAAGTAAAACTACTCACAGTTGACATGATCTTATAAAGAGTCTACAAAAATGTTAAAGCTAATAAATGAATTCAGCAAAGTGACAGGAATGAAGCTCAATAGATAAAAGTCAGTTTTATTTCTAAACCTTAGCAATGAACAATACAAAAAGGAAGTTAAGAAAACAGTGCTATTTACAGTATCATCTAAGACAATAAAACACCTACAAATAAATTTAGGAAGGTACAGGACTGTTGCTGAAAGAAATTAAATACCCAAACAAATGGAAAGACATCCTATATTCATGGATTGGAAGACTTAATGTTATTAAAATAGCCATATTCCCAAAAGATATCTACAAATTTAGTGCAATGCCTATTAAAATCTCAATGTAGCCAAAACCGGTTTGGCTCAGTGGATAGAGCATCGGCCTGCGGACTCAAAGGTCTCAGGTTCGATTCCAGTCAGGGGCATGTACCTTGGTTGTGGGCATATCCCCAGTAGGGGGTATGCAAGAGGCAGCTAATCGATGACTCTCTCATCGATGTTTCTAACTCCCTCTCTCTTCCTCTCTAAAAAATCAATAAAATATATATTTTTTTAAATGTACTTTTTTTTTGCAGAAATAGGGAAATCAATGTTCAGTTAATAATGGAATTGCAAGGGACTTTGAATAGCTGAAGCAATCTAGAAAATTGGACTCACACTTCCATATTCCAAAATGCACATTAATAAAAAAGTTACATTAATAAAACATGGTATTGTCATAAGGACAGATATAATCAATGGAATAGACTTGAGAGTCCAGAAATAAATCCATATATCTATGGGCAATTGATTTTTTTTTTTAATCTTTATTGCTCAGATTATTACAATTGTTTCTCCTTTTTCCCCCCATAACTCCCTACCACCGGTTTCCGCCCCACCCTCTGGCCTTCCCCCCCCACCCTCCGCCATTGTCGTTATCCATAGGTGTACGATTTTAATCCAGCCTCTTCCTGCACCCTCCACATCCCTTTCCCCCTGATAATTATCAGTCCACTCCCTTTCTATGGGCAATTGATTTTTTACCATGGTGCCCAAGACCATTCCATGGGGAAAGAATAATCCCTTCAACAAATGCTGCTGTGAAAATTGGATATAAACATGTAAAAGAACAAGGCTGGACCTTTATTTCACACTGTATACAAAATAATTTAATAAAATGGAACAAAGACCTAAATTTGAGAACTAAAATTAAAATTCTTTGAACACAAGGACCTAACTTTATAATCCTAAATTTGGCAATTATTTCTTAAATACAGCACTAAAAACACTGGCAACAAGACAAAAATTAGATAAATAGGACTTAATCAAAATGTAAAATTTTGTGCTTTTTTTAGAGATATTATCATAAAGGGCTATTTGGTTAGAACATCGTCCTGTACACCAAAAGGTTGTGGGTTTGAGTCTCAGTCATGGCACATACCTAGGTTGCAGATTTGATCCTTGGTCAGGGAATGTATGGCAACCAATGGATATTTCATATCTCTGTCTCTAAAATTCTATATAATAAAAAGCTAATATGCAAATTGTCCCCTCCACCAGGAGTTTGACCAGGGGTTGGAGCCAGCCAGCCAACCACCCACGTCCCCCTCCTCTGATCCCACCCGGATCAACCCCTACCCCCACCCCAATCAGGACAAGCCCCTGAACTCCACCCATGCATGAATTCGTGCACTGGGCCAATAGTAAAATAATTATAATAAGACAAATCTAGAATGAGGATTAAAATACAACAACAGTTTCAGTAATGGATGTAAATGCTTTTGATGACTTAATGATTTTGAGGACTACTGATCAAATACTTTGGAAGATGCCCCTCTATTACAATTAGTCTGTTTTTTCTGCATTAGATTTTGGGAGGAAGATCACAAAAGTAAAGTGATCATGTCAAGTCACCTATTATCAATGTCATGATGATTGGCATTGACCACAGGGCAGAAACAATGTTTCTCAGATTTCTCCAATGTCAAATTACTCTTTCCCTCCTTTTGGAAGATCACTGTGCACTGCCTACTGTTAAATAATGGGGAGTGATGCTCTTCCTTTGCTTTTTTATTTTAATTGTCTCAGGGAGCCCTATAAATATGTACTGCAGTATTGTGGTTACTTCAGATTCAATGTCTTCACTACCACCACCACCCGTACACACACTCTACTTTTTTGCACAAAATAATGCATTTGAGATTGCCCCATAAAATGAGTGACTTTGTTAGGACATGAATATAAGTTGATTATTTTTTGCTGAGGGGTAATGTGGGAGTAAAAACGCATTGCATAATAGGACCTTAAGTAAAAGAGTGCTAGTTTGCCCTCTAACACCATTCTCTCATTCCTGGCACCCAGCTGGTATGTCTCAGTGGTTGAGTGTCAACCTATGAACCAGGAGATCAGTTTGATTCCCAGTCAGGTTATGTGCCCAGGTTGTGGGCATGCAGGAAGCAGCCCATCAATGATTCTCATTGATGCTTCTCTCTCTTCCTCTTTTCTCTGAAAACAATAAAAATGTATATTTAAAAGCCCTGGACAATTTCCCCAGGAATAGCTACCAACCAAATACAGATGGGAGTTAGTAAATGATACCCCAGCTCCTTCATCTTGAGAGGGGCAGCTCTGAGGTGTGTTCAACATTTTTGTCTCTATGTACTCCAATGTGGTTGTGTCCTAGATCCCAGCCAATACCCGCCTGAGCCTGCACGCTATATTAGCTCCCTTCCCTTCCCTGCCTCACTTCTCCGTTTGTACTTCTTTTTTTTTTTAAATATATTTTATTGATTTTTTTACAGAGAGGAAGAGAGAGGGATAGAGAGTTAGAAACATCGATGAGAGAGAATCATTGATCAGCTGCCTCTTGCACACCCCCTACTGGGGATGTGCCTGCAACTCAGGTATATGCCCTTGACCGGAATCGAACCCGGGACCCTTCAGTCCGCAGGCTGATGCTCTATCCACTGAGCCAAACCGGTTTCGGCTGTTTGTACTTGTTGGCATCCCCTTCCAAATAACTACTTGCTCTCACATCTTTAACTCAGGATCTACAATGGGGAGAACCCAACCTATGATACTTCCTTTATAACATAAAAGTAGAAAAATGTGAAGTGCCCCAGCAATGACTATGCTTTTTTTTTTAGCTTTCTCAGCTATTACTGAATGTCACAAACCACTCATTTTATTGTGACAGCCTATTTTAAAATTTCAATTTCAAAGATTGTATTATAGCAATGTTCAATTGCGTTTTTATTGTGTTTTTAAGAGGAAAACCCTGGAAGCTTTAGGTTTAGGCTATCTACTAGTAATTTTAGTATGCAGAGGTTGGAAATAAAATCACTTCATTTGAGCAATCAACCCTGCCAACATCTGAGCTCTGGCTGGGAGTGAGAGAACAGCACTTAGCATACAGTGACAGGGCTCTTGGAATACTACCTTCAGAGCACATGCCAAATCAAAATGACTTAAACATCCAAAATATATTGAGATTAAAACATTTAATGGATCAAAGCATGTCCAACATGGGTACCCTGGACCTGCAAACATTTGTTTGCTAAAAGTATTGATTTAAAAGACGATTGTGAAACTTCAACTGGTAAAGATTGGGGGTTAAAGGGGTTCATTGCAATAGATAATGTATTCATGAAATAATTTGGAAACTGATTATGTGTGATGAATCCTAATTATAGCTACTTATTGTGAATATTTAGGAAAATCGGGGTCTTAAAAAAGACACAAGCTTTTACTTTAATTATTTAGGAATAAAAATAAGTTATCCCAATTTTTAAAAAAAAATTTTTCCTTTTTTTTAAATAAATTTTTATTGTTCATATTATTACAAATGTTCCTTCCCCCCACCCCCACCATTGCTCTCCTCCACCAGGTTCCTACCCAACCCTCTGCCCTTTCCCCACTCCCCATTGTCCTCATCCATAGGTGCACAGTTTATGTTCAGTCTCTTCCCACATCCCCCTCTCCCCTTTTCCCCAAGAATCGTCAGTTCACTCCCCTTCCATACCTCTGATTCTATTATATTCCACAGTTAATATTGTTCATCAGATTTTTTTTTTAATTTCCTTGGTTTTTAGATTCACTTGTTGATAGTTACCTATTTGTTGTTCATAATTTTTATCTTTATTTACTGTCTTTTCTGAAAGAACCCCCTTCAGCAATTCATATAATTCTGGTTTGGTGTTGATGAACTCCTTTAGCTTTTTTTTATTAGTGAAGCTCTTTATCTGACCTTCGATTCTGAATGATAGCTTTGCTGGATAGATTATCTTTGGCTGTAGGTTCTTACTATTCATCACCTTGAATATTTCTTACCATTCCCGTCTGGCCTGCATTGTTTCTGTTGAGAAATCAGCTGACAATTGTATAGGTGCTCCTTTATAGGTAACTACCTGCTTTGCTCTTGCTGCTTTTAATATTCTCTCTTTGTCTTTTGCTCTTGGAATTTTAAGTATGATTTGTCTTGGTGTGGTCCTCTTTGGATTCCTTTTGTTTGGAGTTCTGTGTGCTTCCTGGACTTGTAAGTCTAATTCTTTCA